TGCGACCAAAGAAGCGTGAAATCAAGAAAAAAAACTCTGAAGGGTCCAAAGAGGAAGATGAGATGTTTAAAAACCCTACACCCGCTAATTTCGAGGCAAGGAAGAAGATTACCGAGAGGAAAAAGATGCCTTTTGATGAAGGGGTTAAGGAGAAATTAGCGAAGGCAGAGTGTTTGAATGATGTGTACGAAGTGGTGGAGATGGTCAAAACTTCGCAATCTAAAGTCGATGAGAGATCAGAAGCTAATGGTTTTGCGGCGGGACCTGGTTCATCTAAAAAGAGTACGCCTGTTAAGAAGAAGCCAGCACCAGCGCCAGCAAAGAAGAGAAATGCGAAGAAAGTGCAGACACCTAGTGCTAGCGTCTCGAATGAAGATGCGGATGAGGACGAGGATGATGATCTGAGTATGCCTGATTTATCGGCTGATGATGAATTGGCGAAACCGGCCACGAAAGCTAAGCCGGCTAGACAAAGTGGAAGGGCCGCAGCAAAGAAGAAGAGTTATGTCGAGGTTGATGATGATGAGGAGTAGTGTGTATGTGTATTTGTAAATCTGAGAGTTTGGATGTATGTCTACCATGTTATGTCTATCTTGTATATTATCAAATTTGTACCAAAGTATTCAAATATGCATTTCAGGAATTCATGCCAAGTTAATTCCTCTTTTTCAGTGTGATGTAGATTCTCCGATGCCAAGCACTTTACTGCTTTGTGAATACGTAAGGAGACGATTGAAAATTGGAGTACACGATCGTATAGCAGTTACATTGAGACCATCATAGATTGATTAAAGTATATTGTTTTGCTCGCACTATTATCTGTAATCTCTCCCTGCTGGCATCTTTGGACGATACTAGAGGTGACCTTACAATCTCATCTATCCCATCGAACGCTCCAAGCTGATATCCTCCGCCGGCAACAACAAACATGCATGAGATGATTAATACTGATTGTCAATTCAGAAAGGTGACACACGGAGATTTATACACCACGGGGCGGAGAATTAAACGGCATTAGAGTCGGTTCTTCTGAGATGCTTGATATAGATCTTGAGGAAAATTGCTGTATATATGTAACAAGGGGAGTTTGATCTACATTACCGGGTTCAATATAGTCGTGTATTCATTTGAGACTCTCGGGTGTCGCTGATCTTGATGCCGATTCTGGATTATTTTGATGGATGGGCAGTGTAGAGGAGGTGAGTGACAGAGCTTGATATTGTCATTAATTCTCTGAAGGGTTTTGGTACAAAAGATGCTGAAGCATAGGCCAGATATGCAATAAACTCTTTTGTGAGCGGTGTCCATTCGCTTGTTGTGTACATCTTGGGGGTTGAGTTCTTGTAGTTTGGTTGCGAGATAGGTTTTGGTAATGCTAGTGTGAGTCATACTTTGTGTTTTCGTTGTTGAACAGAGTCAGAGCTACAAAAGTTCTACCATCTAGAGATCTGCCAGTATCATCAACATTTTCCTCCATGGACACTCTGATGGTTTGAATGAAAGTTCTAGCTATTGTAGACGATTGCCCCTAGAATACAATGCACAAAGCAAGTGAATGCTGCTACCCCGCTCCATTCAAAGACATGTTAATATCTACTAGTTCCATTATACTTGAGGTTGGCCAAGGAGATTCACTTAGCAAAGACCTCCAAGTGACATTGTTCATCACAACGAATGATCTTGGCTAGTCGGAGCGTCCATTCCACGATCTCTTTATATGAAGCTCACTGTATCCCAACGACTCCGAGTCATCAAATATTCGCGGGTGCTCTAGAGCTCTTGACATGGTTTGGAAAAGCAACGCGCGTGGTCAACGGATTATACTAGCAGATGGTACGGTGTGTATACACGCCCACTAAAGAAGGCTTTGTGCCATTAACATCATCATTCAAGGTTATAAGAACTTTGGTTGTTGCTCGGAATAATCACTATTTTTCCAATTGTCGTCGTTAATTCCCCATAGTCATGTCATGAAAAATGACAATGATACGATCGCTCGCAGAGATAATCATCACTTTCCGCAATATTGTCGACATTCAAAATAAACTGTAGCTGCAGAGCTTTCTGCCTATCGACTCAATGGCTTGGAGGACATAGCAACATGATGAAAAGGATAAGTGAAACTCATACCGATCTCATCACCAACCTTTTCGTCTACAATCACAAGCAATCGCAAAATGGCATTCCACCAAGAAACTTGGCGGTAGACTGTTGGCACCCATCTAATCTAGGTAGACGACAATACTACCAGATATATGAAGAGATGTTCTGATGGCAAGATCGTCGTCACCTTCCACACATGCCAAAAAGATTTACTCGCGAGAAGTGCAAAAAGTTAATGAACAGAGGGGGATTCGAACCCCCGCGGGCTAAGCCCATGAGAATGCTAATCGATTTTACATCAACTAAGCTGTTGAGCTTGAGTCACACGCCATAACCACTCGGCCATCTGTCCGTCTTTGAGGCTTGTTATGAAAGAACCAACATATCTCACTACTTGTTACAAAAAATTGGACTGCTGTGACGAGCGAATAGCAATGCTTCGTCGAGAAAAACTTTTGAGAAAAAAAAAGGAGCCGGGAACATCCACAAATGGGTGGATGGTCCCTGGCGGGGCTTTCCGCGCTAGAGGAAAGACGATGGATACTTCAAGGGCTCCGAGTGAAGGAAGAGAGCACGACAGGAAATGTTCGAACTTTATAGTGGAGCCTGGGAGCAAAAGATTCCAAATGAAAATTTCTACTGAAGGGAATTGAGCCCAACGGGGGGGTCGAACCCCCAACCTTGTGATTAAGAGTCACACGCTCTACCGATTGAGCTAGCCGGGCAGGCTATGATAGATATTTGTTAGGAGACGGTCGTCAGTATGAGTACTGATTGCCAGACACAAAGGATCAAAAGAATCTTTGCAGAGTTTTTGAGGATAAGCGAAGGGGTGTTGGTGGTGAGAGCACAGACCATGAAAGTGAAGACTTTTAGCGTATGCACCATCACTCTACTTATTCAGTTCTCAATTTGAATCTCAAATAGCATTCGGATGAGCATGGTATCAATCGCTTCAATGATTTTGAGATTTATATTGGAATATTCGTAGAGAGTCATGAGACAAAATAATTTCAGGTTTTGAGTTTGAAAGAGCGATGGCGTTTAAAAGCTAAATGCGACAATCACTCCCACCAAGAAAGAATATGGTCGTCGATTGGAGCTTAGATATGTACCCCTCACAACGCTAGAGACCACAGTGTGCGCAATGACAAAATAGCGATCGCAGGAATTGCTCATCGTCGTGTGGCAATATGGTCGCGCCACCGACAAAAATTCAAAAGGAAACATACAACAGTAGGGATTCGCTGGTGGTCACCCACCCAACTACTAATCTACCGATCTGAGGCTTGTGTATGGCAGAGCGGACGGGATGCCCAATTCTCCTCAGTCTATGGTCGTATGTGCCAGTGACCGTCAAAAGTAAACTTATATATCCTTTTATCGTGGAGGCTCATGCATCCCAAAACAATATTTCGTTTGCTGTTGTTCCTCTCGTATATATGGTGGTATTGTGGCCTTATGGGATTCTTTCCTGTCTTTGTATGGTACCTGCAATGTTACATGGTATAATTTCTTAGTTACATTCAATAATTGTGGCTCTCGTATCTGCTGGAATTAATCAAGGAACCTAATAGTCAAGCTTAGCCAGGTTGTTTGTAGGAATGGTAGATTTGATAATATAAATCGTGTTCAGTTACCTCAGTACCCTGCCTGTCTTTATGAATCGGCCGTTGAGAACGAACGGTAGCTTGGGAATTCCGTTCTCAAACATACATGAGACTAACTTTTAAACATGTTGTTGGGCGCCGTTCTTCCTCGGAGATTCTGGAGTGCACGGGGAAATCATATAGTTTTACTAAATTGAACATCTTGCCATTTTCAGATGAACAGTTGTAGACTGCTTACACGACTTCTTGATGACGCTCAAATGAACTGTATTCATCGTTAAAGGATAATCTGAAGCCTTATGCAAAACATTCTCAGTTATGTCGTACTCTCGTACTCTCACGAATATGCTTTATGATTTTATTAATCTACTCCACTATTTCTACTTTGGTAAGGAAATTGGTTTGTCTAGACATTGATATATCCTAGTTTTGGAATCTCGTGAATTCACGCGGGACCCTTTCTCAGTGTGATGATATGATGATCGTTGCTACACGAGGAAGATCAGACAAGTCCAGTATCACCATTGGATTTTTGTGGAAGTGCCGAGTCATACTATCATCAGATTTCTCCGGACACAAACAGAAACATCTGAAGTAACTCCCGATGTTAGAGATTTGAGATGATGAAAAGAAGAAAAGACGCTGAAAAATGAACAATGAATCTTTTCTCATCCGATCATTTCTTCTTCTTCATCATCATTCTCGAAGAATACTCTTCAGAGAAAAATTTCAAGTTTCTATTTTCAAATCTTCCGGCGATGGATGGATGGTTATGGCTGTGTACTTGTAATAGTCATCAAATCTTGCTCCATTTTCCATCTTGGTCCGTTTTCTGAATCATAACCAACCAATCTTCGTAAGTCCCTCTTAAAGTACTATTCTTGTTACAGACTAAGGAATACAAGCGAGAAAAGACAACTTAATGGAGAACTCCATAGTCTTCATCTTCAACACTTGACCAATCATTTTAATAAATTCACGAAACGGTACCTGAATGTGGATATCTTTCTAGAAAGCCTCCTGTCCAATAAATATAGAGAATCGTCGGAATCTCCCAAAGTAAGTAGTAACAGTGGCTCAGTCAATCTTTACCCCTGAGCTAGGGCTTGTCAGTTTCGGCGTGATCCCCAAGCTTTTAACTCCTGCTTGGTCCATCTTACCCACGGCCCCACTAGAACCTCTCAATCCTTGGCGAACCCCTGGTGATTCCAGACTCTGAGTCCCGAGCAGGTAATCTTTTTTTCTTTTTCGACATCAAGTTCCAATGGCTCATCCCCTGTTCAAAAAGATATCCCGATAACTGTGTCAATTCTGATTCTAATGTCTTCATACCACGCACACTCGTTCATCTCTTTGCTTTGTCGTTTTGTAATGTGACAAGCTTTTTCCGGTTTCTACCAGTGATTTTCAGATTTCTCTCCTTCATACAATCGTTTGTCCCACTCATATCTGTAATTCACCCATTTTATACACTCAAAAAGCATTATCATATGCACCAACCTTCATTATATCTCTTCCTATACACCTGCTCTCTTTTACCCAATCTTCAACATTTGCACTGTTATACAAAAGCTAGCTTCTGCAGCTTTGACCATACTTCTATTCTTTCCAGGTAGACCCTAGGCCATATTATCATTATACAGCTTTTCCACATACTCTTCTAAGTCGAGGCCCCAAACTTTCGACACCTAATCACGCTCATCATACAATTAGAGCATCATTCCATTACAAATTTACAATTGAACATACATCGTCGTTAAATAGAGAGATAATCTGGGTTTTTTGAGTTTTGGGATTCCCGACGGTACACAGAGGCGGTCTTCCGCGTGCCAATACACACCGTCGCCATGATGTTACGGCCAATTTCAACCCTCTCAACTCTTTCCTTAGCCTTAATAGGAACTCTGCCGGGCAGAGTCCTCGCAGCCCAAACCCTCACGACAACAGGCTATACATCATGTTTGGCCGATTCAAATATCTCAGTCCAGAAGATGGCTGTCACGTACGATAATGACGCGAAAACAGTCACCTTCGATGTGGCCGGATCCAGTACCAAATCTCAGAACGTCACGGCTGAGATAAATGTTACTGCATATGGAATATCAGTTTATTCAAAAACCTTCAACCCGTGTGATTCGACCACATTTGTAGAACAATTATGTCCGAGTAAGTTTTATCCCCTTTTCAATGAGTCGGAAGAATCGTTAAAACTAATGCTCTGATCGAAGTCCCCGTGGGAACCTTTGCTGCCTCTGGAACACAAGCAATTCCAGACCAATATGCCTCGATGATTCCCGCTATTGCTTTCTCGGTACCTGATATCTCCGCCATAGCTACAATCGAACTCAAGGATTTGAATACCGCAGAAGAGGCTGCTTGCGTGCAAGCAGATGTCACTAATGGTAAAACTACTGCTGTGGCTGCTGTATCTTACGTTGCCGCAGCTGTAGCTGGAGCAGCTGCAGTTGTAGGTGGAGTTTCAGCACTCGGTGCTGCAGCCAGTGGAGCGGGCGGAGGAGCGGCCAGCAGCCCGTCGTTCACGGAATGTATGACATGGTTTCAGGGCATGGCTATGAATGGAATGATGTCCGTCAAGTATCCTCCGGTCTATCGACAATTCACCAAGAACTTTGGATTCAGTACCGGTCTGATTCCTTGGACCGCCATGCAACAATCGATTGACAGTTTCCGAGCTGCTACTGGAGGTAATTTGACGACTGATAGTGTTACATATTTGAGAAATGCTACGTTGGTATTTTCAGATGGATCAACTGATACACCGTCCAAACGATCATTACTATACCTTCGAGATGTTGTGACGTCAGTCAACGGAACGGATGATGCTAGTGACACCACCACTACGACAGCAATCATCGAAGAGAAAGTAGCGGGGATCAAGGCCTACGTCGAAGAACTTTCAGTTCCACAAGCCAATACTTTCATGACAGTTCTCCTTATTGTTGCTTGTGTTATTGCCGCTATTGTCGTCGCAGTCCTTGCTTTCAAAGTCCTCCTCGAAACCTGGGCCCTCTTCGCATCTTTCCCAAAAAGTCTTACCGGATTCCGAAAGCATTACTGGCAAACTATGGCTCGTCTCACTGTTCAATTGATTCTCGCTCTTTACGGTGTATGGGTTCTTTACTGTATATTCCAATTCACCAATGGCGATTCATGGGCTGCTAAAACACTTGCTGCTGTCACACTGACTATCTTTACCGCTGTCCTTGTATTCTTCGCCTACAAAATTTCCTCGGCAGCAAAGAAGCTTAAGGAGAGAGATGGAGATGTGTCAGGGTTATACGAGAAGAAGGACAATTGGCTCAAGTACAGTATGTTCTACGAGAACTACAAGAAGGATTTCTGGTGGTTGTTCGTCCCAGCTATCATCTACATGTTCGCAAAGGGATGCGTGTTAGCAGCAGCCGATGGACATGGCCTCACTCAAACCGTTGCTCAACTCATCATCGAATGCCTCAGTAAGTTATCCCGCGTAACACTACAGGACTCTTATTCTAATTCTTTTACCAGTGCTCTCACTTCTCCTCTGGAGTCGTCCTTACGAGAGAAAATCCGCCAATGTGATTAACATGTTCGTCCAAGCGGTCCGTGTCCTCTCTGTCGTATGTATACTCGTCTTTGTGGAAGAACTCGGTATCGCCGAAACCACCCAAACAGTCACCGGTGTCGTCCTTATTGCAATTCAATCAGTTCTCACCGGTACCCTCGCAATCCTCATTGGTGTCAACGCCGTCATCTCAATCATTAAACAAAACCCCCATCGAAAACGCCGCAAGGAAGCTGGTAAGTTTCTTCTCTCCCCATCCAAACTTCTCAAAACTAACCTCTTCCCAAGAAAAACTCAATCGCGACCTTGATAATCTCACTCCTCTCGACGCCCGCAACTCTCTCCTCATGGACTCCAAATCTAGCATCCATTCCTACGAGGGCGATTCAAAACACCCATATCTACACTCCACTCACGAGACGCATGAACCCTCAAGTTTCATGAACGAGCCCGCGAACCCATATTCGCGCAGCCAAGAAAACCTCGTCGGTGGAGCCGCGCCAGTGGCTGGAACTGGGCATCAGAGCCGTCAGCCTACCGTCCCGAATATGAATATAGGAGGTGGGAACTCCGGAGCTTATAGGGGGATGGCTTATTAGATCTCTGTTTCGTCCCTACAGAGGAAGGAAGAAAAGAAAAGAAGAAAAGAGGGAACGACAGGTGTCTTCACACAGAAGTGAAGCACAATAGCATCCCATCTCATCTCATCGACCGATTGGCTTGCTAGCGAGCCGATGGACGAAAAAGAGAGAGAGGGTATATCATTAGTATCATATACAAGATAACGATTTCATTTCGTCACTTAGCGGTACAAAATTCTCTATTTATTGCATAGGGTTCTCTTTGTACAGGTACGGGAGGGAAAGAGAGGGATGTTGGATATATGTGCGGGGTGGGATGTGTGGTTTATTTGAGTTTGTTTCATGCATATATGGCACATACCCTTCCTTTTATTCATTTACCTTTTCTTGGCTCTTTTTTCTATAGTTCAGTTTTAGTGGGTGATACTAGCATTTATTCAATGAGAGATATATTATTATACGTTATCGATGTATATGTAGTCCATTGTGAGCCCTGTGAGTTGAATAGTTGGATGTATGCATTTGTAATTGGATTAATTTACATACTGGAATCTTGATACGTGGAACTTTCTATTCAGCATCTTAGATCACGTTCACTGAGTATTAGATGTTTGTTGCTTGTATGTTGTTGTCTGAGATAAGCCATATCTACTTCAACTTGATCGTTCGATTTCAAGGCAGATTATCCTTTCTTCACCACACCTCCATGGTAACCACCCATCAAAAGCCTTGTCCCACGCAGTCTCATAGAAATCACGTTACGTCGACTGCATGATATTGCATGAAATTCAGTCCAAATAAACATTATCACATCAATCAAGCCGGCCATTTGACATGGCGTAAGATTGACATTGAAACTCTACCTCAAAGATACTTTGAAAAAACGCAAAATTGTAAAGTTAGTTAGTCATTCAATAAGTAAACGTCATTGTGATTCACCGAATGAAGAGGAGGAGGTTGAGTTCGCTTCTTGTCCAATGGTAGCTGTGTATGATTAACTAGAGAACGATGGTATACTGGTAGGTCTCACTATGTAGTAACGTTCGCTAGGTCGATCTAGTAATGTCGTAGAGCTTAGACTGTGATTCCATCGAGCCTGAAATCATGATTATTCTTTGCCTTCCAGACTAGGTTGCACTTCTCTATCAGATATGGATCTTACACGAAGATAAATATCGAGTGTCTTTAATCTCGATCTCAATCCCCTTCGTAACCAGCAGATCTCAAGGTCTTTGAGCAAGGCCCCAAATGTCTATGGTACGATGGCCTTGACTCGTACTTGGGCCACAATAGTCTTTTGAAGTACATTGTTCGGGAAAAGATTCCGTCAGTCGAGTAACGGTGCTATAATGATAATACAATTGTTTGATTTTCCATAGATTATGTCCAACAAAATTGTTCCCCAACGGCTTTGATGGTGCCACAACAACGGCATTAAGATTAGCATGACCACAACAAATCACACCTTGCCTGCACTTGTAGAAAGAAGTGCATGAACAGCGTGCCGCCGAGACTATCGAAATTCAGAATAAGGTTGGCACGTTACTCTCGAAATGCAAATAGGGCCACACTACTGGCCACCATTCGTGGGAAACAACATGGTGCAAGCTTGCAAAGATAACCCCGAATTCAAGACATGAGATCACCAATCCACGTGATAAGTGTGGTGTTTCCGTATGGGCGAGCTGCATGAGGGCAGATCACTAGAATAGATCTTCAGTACTATGATCAGAAAAATGATGTATTCTCAACGAATGAATCATGAAGTACCGGCACTTTCGATAAGTCACTTCGGCACATCGCGAAAGCTTAGACCCAATCACATGTTGGTCATTGTCTTCAACATCTCTTACTGGCCTGGCCGCGCGCTTCTAGAGAAAGATAAGAGACCAATACCTTCACATCTTATTGACGGAGTTGATAACAAATAAAGTTATAATGAAAGCGCTTACATGAATGAAGTCTATTGTTAGAGATATCAATATTTGACCTTGGCCACCACGTTGAAATATTTAGCTTTGTTTTTCCTTTTTAATATTCTGACATCACTCCTACTTGAGTTTCGTTTAGAACTGAAAATGACTTAGCGAAAGATGAAGGGGAAGATTGACTTGGAAAACAGGACACTTCCTGTCTAAGAACTCAAAGAAGTGCTGTGCAAAGAATCTTGATCAATGTTATTCGCAGCAAGCTCCTCAACTGAGTCAACTCGTATTTTGGGCTAAATTCCCCAAAAGAATGCTTGTGCGTGGAGCGTTTCTAGCCCCAACCAATTATTTCTCATAGCACAGTCAGTACGTACTAGACAGCCACTTCCGTGATTTCTACAACATCAGAAAACAGAGTATGGTTTGTCCTAGGTTCCAATTAATTTACTACTCATTCAAACCGGTGTGATTATTTCTTGAAGTACATGTACAGATACCCTTGTTGTCGGTCGACGATTCGACATATTGACATGTCGTTGAAACAAATCATTCCGGTGCTTCAGTCTGAGCGGATTGCTGCAGGCAAAAAGTGGATGAACTAGCCAATGAAAAGAAGATTAAATGTGCTTGGAACTTTTGATATGGGACCAAGAAACCAATGTGATAATAATATATCCCAAATATTCACTCGCTTTCTTCGTCGCTCGGTCAATTAATCAATGGATGGATGGGTGGCATGACAATCTGGATCAATGCAGCCGTAGCATTTTGGTACCGTGATTACAGTGTTCAATAAAGGCGACGAAGGCTGGCTCAGTCAAATCTGTTAGGCTTTCTTCTCTCTTCTACCTTCTTTCGCCAATTGCGTATCGCAAGTGTGACTCGAAGAGTTGTAAGCTCCGCTCATAACTTCAACATCCCCATCTGCATACGCATACGCAGAGTAGAAAATGATTCCTCAAACATCGGATAGGAAAGAAGAAGTTCATCCATGAGAATATTCTAGTTGGATCCCGGGGGACGGACGTTTTAATTTATTGATTGCTTGTCGATGGATAGTCATACCCGGATTTTCCAATATAGGAGTACGAGAAGCAATGTTTGGATAAAGTAATGAAGTCAATGCGAAAATCGAAATGACGATGCTATTCAGATGCACATATAAAAATACATTACGGCTTAGATTAAATCATTATAGACTGAGCTAGCTAAGCTGGCTGAGTAACAAGAAGATGTCTAATAAGCACCAAAAGTTTTGCAAAGTGATTCTGAATTCTAAATTCTGTGAAATTTTTAAGTAAGCAGTGAGCAGTGAGCAGTGAGCACATGGAAGTAGATTGGGGGTGGCTAGGGGGGAAAAGAATTGGATATCGGACAGCACGAAACACCCTTGGATACTTGGCGCGCTAAGAGAAATGGAGAGTGGAGAGTGGATTTTGAATGCTCAAAATGTTCATGCAGGGTGGGAGGTCTCAAACCAAAATAGCCCCTTATTTGAATTAGTTGCATGAAACTAAACTTATCAAAGATTAGTCGAGAGATTTGCTATTGCCCAATCTGATTAAAGCAGGTACGGAAATGCTAAAAACAGGGGTATTACTGCAAAAGTTCCATCTGTATTTGGTTGGAAGGGGAAGAAGACGGAGGAGGAGTGAGGGAAAAGGGAAAAGTAAGAGGGACGATCAAAGAACATACTCTGACTGGTCAACACTGAAAGGGAGATCATTTGAAGAGAGAGAGAGAGAGAGAGAGAGAGAGAGAGAGTGTGTGTGTGTGTGTGTGTGTGAGAGAGAGAGAGGAAGAGAGGAAGAGAGAGAGAGAGAGAGAGAGAGAGAGCAAAAGATTAAAAAGAGAGAGAGAGAGAGAGAGAGAGAGAGAGAGAAAATATCTTACCACACCACAACATGAGATTAATCATCGATCTATACTCCGTGCTAATGTTCACAAATTCATCAATCTGCCTATTACATTAATAACTATACCATCTCGTCTCACCAAAAAGATCGTATCATTCGCATCTTTATCGATCCTTCCCTTCTTACACCCCAACCTTGCCAGCTCGTCCACTATCTGCCTGCTTGCTTGGCGATTGTGTCCGGTACTTTTCATCATTTTTCTATCCTTCTATCATTGTACTCTACCTTACCTCCCTACCAAACTTTTGGATGTCTTTCAATCATTTTTACGCCTACCTAATATCTATATTTTGATTAATCTTTCGTCCCCCAATTTTAGGAACCGGCAACGAATCTTATGAACCCATATAGAACAATTGATGGATAACGACAACGACCTATGACGAACCAAAAGACATACGAAGTTCCACTTTCTACCACACATCATACGGATTCATACCAGAAAGCCTCTCCGTTCTCCACTCAGGTATTGAAATCCATACAAATTACATACATATGAATATCGCGTGCGTCGCATACAGCAATACATCCACAGGTCCCATACATCCCATCCATACCCATACCCATTTCCAACCCAGAATCCCCGTCCTTCGGCTCGAAAACGAAATTGAAGAACCTTTCACCCATTCAAGGATCCATTCAACTCCTTGCCAGTCAAGCCCATTAAGCTCACCAAAGCCTGAGACTTCTACAATTTCATTCCATCCTGGGTTTGGAATCATTGATTGTTCTTCTTTGAATTCTAGGAATACCATCCATCCACTGGATCATCGAAAGAAAATTTGATGGTCTTGCAATTTAGTATCTACCTGTGATAATACATTCGAAACCAGACATATAAAGCGTACTGACACAAATCGCATTGAGCGCTTCAGAAACAGCACATCCTCGGCTTTTATACTATTGTAGATCAAAGCAGGGCGGGTCCTCGCTCGTACCATTCGTGGCCTGCCCCAGGAAGCGGACGTGATTGTTCGACAGCCGGTCGACTCCTATTATACCGTGGGTGCCAAATACCATACCGATCTCATCAGTTGTCATACTGGCATACTTGTTTGTACCATTCGCGTTTCGATTGCTGTGCATTCTTTGCAGTTTCTTTTTCTTTTGAGGCGCCATTCACCATCTCAAGAGTCGCCTTCGTTCTATGATCTGAGAAAACAACGTTGCAATCTTAGGTCCTTTATCTACACTTAGTTGTTTCAGCTTGCCCGCACTTAGAGGATCTGTCGCCAAACGCCTTACACTTCGAAATCGGGACGAACTGAATTTTCATTACAAATTCGACTTGATTGGACATCTTGACGGTGATTTCTTACGGGCTTTCGACGCCTCTTGTTAAAGCATTGTAGCTTGCTGGAAGACATACCTACCCGTCGTTGACGACTCCGTTCGAATTCCAACACCCACCGAGACCTAACCTCCGACAATTGGTTTCGTCGCTTTGACAGCATCCTTTCAACTTATCAATTGATAGACATCTTCTACATTTTTCTTACTTGGCTCATAATGTGCCAAGATACATAACGGAAACGAGGACAAACCTTTTACCATTCGTAGCGTCGATCGGCCTACCCGACGACCTGAATAACGAATGAACACGACCACGACTGAGCAAGATAATAATGGCTCTACCAAAACCAAAATATTCTCTGGATGATTCCTGTTCGATACTCTATAACAATACATTATACGCATACAACAGCGAAGCGTTTCAATCGCTATCGTTAGTCCAAGGAGCGAATTGGACGCAGTTATCCCAAGGAGAATCTGTATCGGGAGGAGTGTGTGTAAAGGCAACACCTGCTAACGGACAGGATGCATTGTATATTGTCGGTGGAACGAGCAAAAATGCTACAAGCCTGTATACGGGTCTTCAACGATATAATTTTAATGATGGAACATGGGACACCTTAACTACTACAGTGCTAGTCGCTCAAAATCGACTTTGGCACAGTGCTGTATACTTGAATGCATCGGACTCCATTCTAATGTATGCAGGAAGTCAAGATGGTAGTAAAGATCCATCATCTCAAACCTTCACAATTTCCGCGTCGCCTCCATACAATGTTCTGTCATATGGGGCTTCTATTACACCCCCCGTACCCGCTGTGCAGCCTCTATTACTTCCATGGTCATCAGACTCGGCAATCTATATTGGCGGTACTGACACAAACACTGCCGTGATGGAATTCAATCCAACAACGGCCTGGGCTAACACAAACAGCAGCTTGGCCACTCCGATATATAACACTTCAGCAGTCAAGGCAGTTGTGATGACAGGCGATGACGGAAGCAAGAACCTTTATACTTTCGATATGACAGTGGCACCAAACACTGTGAATAGGACCATTCTGGTTGATGGTTCTGGAAGTCCCGTGCAAAGCGCGGAGGCTGTTGTGTCAACAAGTACCTCTACAAAAAGAGCTACGCAAGAAGTAAAAAGAAGTAGTCTTACGGAAGCTAATTGGCCTGCTTATAATGGTACACTAGCTCCAACATCTACCAGGACATCATATTCGGTCGCGATGGGCGCATCTGGACAGGTAGTAATATCAGGTGGAAATGAGGATGATGTTCTTTGCATATTTGGAGCGGGAACAAATTCTTGGGTTAATGCAACATCAATGTTGGTCAAGTCTACCACACAGCAAATTGTTATACCATCAGCGTCCCCATCGATTGCAAGTTCCTCGGTACCTACAAGTACTGGTAATACCACTGCAGCAGCCGCAGAATCGACCGATAAGGTTGCCGACAAGTTTCCGGTAAAAGTATTGGGTGCAGTACTTGGGTCTATAATTGGGGCCGCTCTACTACTCATTGGTGTGTTGATCCTTTTTCGATGGCGACGGAAGAAGAGGGATCTCAAAAACGCAGATGCGAATGGATATCCTCTCGAAAAAGATGGGTTAGAGTTCTCGGACAGAGGCCTGGCAAATATGCACTCATCAATGCATCCGCCGCGACATGGACAATCGGCGTCCCAAGGTTCATTTTCATCAATGGCCATCTTGATGGGTCGTATAGGACATCGAAGAGGAGAGGACGACAAAGGCAACGGGAGTGCGGGAAGTGGCAGCAGCAGTCAATTTAACAAGAACTACAAAACTACAATAAATGAGCCTACATCACCTGATCAGACTTACGCTCAAGATGCATTGGCAAAGGAAGTTTCATTCGGTCAAGATACGGTTACACCACGACCTAGAAATCCTGGAGCGCAGAGACGAGGCAGTACAAGAAGATCATCGGGGTGGAATCGATATTGGTCTGGTGGAAGTGCAATGACGAGTTTCTTGGGTTTTGGAGAATCAAAACAAAATCTTTCTAATAGTGACGATGACGCCGCCTCACGATACTCGGATCCAAGGCTGAATACACAGCTTAATGCTTCCAGACTTCCAAGTCAGATTACCACCACATCCGCTTTGGTCCCTCCATTGAAGATTCCGATTCCGGGGGATACTCCATTATATCGGGTTGCTACCAATAGTCCTACTGTATCGACCGCTGGGTCTCATTTCCCAGTAGCAGCAGAGATGTCTGGCAAAATTGAAGGGCTCCGACCTGACTCTTACGCAAGCAATGCTTCATCTTATGATGGAAGATCTGATGCATACTCGAGTGGAGTTCCGGAAAGTGTAAATGATCCGGACTCATGGGCAATGGGTAATCAAGGCTGGTCTCAAAACAGACCAAGTAATGCATATACTGTTAGTGTATACAACACCAACAGAGATACTGTTGGAGGGAATAATTTCTCGCTCCAATCACCTCAACCACCACCACCTACTCAACGACAAAACCAACCCTCAATCCCTTCGGATATGAGCTGGTTAAACCTTGGTACCAAAACTCGAATATGATACCCTCTCTTTTTGTACTGTAATCTCACATTCCAAACTCTCACTATATGTTCTTATCTTTTATTCGTCGACATTAGCGCTGCTGCAATTTTATGTCCTTGTTTACAATATATCCCGTATTGTTGCATATGCTGGGGGTTCTTCCTTGCACGGCGTGGAAATGGGTCATTATTGTTAAAAAAAAATCCGATTAGTCCGGCCGCGTCTGGCGTTTTTTCCTTTTTACCATATCTTTTCTGGACTCATTTCCACAAAATTCCCTCTCATGTTCTCCGTACTCGACTTTTCGTCCAATTTTTTTGATTTCTTGGATAACAATACTAGTACTACTACTACTGCTTTTTTCTTGTTGGCGAATACTGATGTCTTGTATGACATTGTACTGTACTAGATCTTGATCTTGCATGATCGGAGTTATTATCTCTTTTCTTTGGATGTTTGGGTTGAGGCGGAGAGTGTACCTTGCCGTGCAAAAAGATCTCTTGGGGAAGGGGGGTGTAGGAGATGTTGCATTATGGTATGGGCCGTTTATTGGAATGGATATAATGCTTAAATTTTGAGGAGGTGATGCGGAGGATAGGAAGTCGAAAGTGGCAGAGTAGAGATAAATGTGATGGTGGTTCGTTATACATGTCGTGTACGATGTAGTGGTGTGTAGTGAAGAGAGGATTCAGTAGTAGTAGTTGTTGTTGTTATTGTCGCGAGGCTGGTGATGAATGAGAATCTTGCGTATTCAAGAGATGCTATGTTGTTTCCGTGTGTGTGTGTGTGAGTGTGAATGACTATGTGTTTCTTGATGTGAGATGATGATCTGTATAAGTATATTGTTTGAGTTATTAGATAGGTATCTATACTTGAAACTTCCGTATCGTTCCTCTCTGATATCCCCTCTTCTTTCTTTGGAGAATGTATCATTGGTACCTATGGACAGTTATTTCACCAGTCAACCTACCATTTCGCATTTCGCATTTTGCATTTTGCATCCCTTCATTTCTATCTCATTTTCCTCCTATCTATAGCCATACATCTCGACTTTTACAAATCATCGACCGATGATGAGACAATGTTCAATATGCAGACAGATACGAGAGAAGAGTTTCCGTGTTCTTATTTTATAAGATGAGAAAGACGGGGGAGGGGGTAAACCTGGAGTTTGGGTTTGGGATTGGTTCTGGGATTGGTTCTGGGGTTTGATTCGGGGGTTTGGTTCTGGGATTTGTAGTGAGTGGCGGAATGGAATGGAATGTAGGTGGTTAGTTAGTTAGACTTTTGAGGGGGGGGGTTGGTTGGGGGTATGGGGTTTATGTTTGTGTAGGTAGATATGATTATAGAGCTGTAAATGGTCAAGTATTGGCCGGTGAATGGATACTCGATCCTCGTATGAGGATTATGTGATTGAGGATATACAATCTGGTGTTTTGCATTTGGTTTCTGGAGTTCAGATGAATGTCACTGTGTATTCAGATGGGTCTGAGATGGATGTGGGTTGGTGGTATATGGTATATTATTCTTGGTTGGTATGATATGACAGGTGGACGGATGGTCAATAGAGCGGTTGATGGAGATGAATATGATTATGATCTGATTGATAGTGCATTTTGATATGAAGCTCATTTCACAAGAGTTTGTGGATCAGGTGGATTTAGAAAGTTGGGGGGTGATGAATGGTGTTTCTTCAGTTAGGTGTGTTTTGATAGGGCTTGATTTGTTTATTGATTCTATGTCTCTTGGTTCTTTTCTTCGCTTTGGCTTTGGTGGTTGTGGACTTTGGGGGGTTTTCTTGGTGGATTATCTTTCTCTGGATCTCTACAATATATTTGTGTTGGTGATCACATTAGCGAGAGCATGGCTAGAGCTGGACGAGGAATCGAATGGATTTTGCGATTTATCGCCATCGTCTGCGTCCCAATCTACTTCGAAGCCTCGCCAAGAAATGACTGCGATGCAAGTTCCAATTTATGTTGCTTCACGACTGTGCCTGTTCGTTTTCGTAAAGTTCCATCTTTTGACCTGGACTATAATGGTATCATATGATACAAATACACTATGAGAGTTTGACAGTCGACGAACCCAAGAAAGCAAAAATGACATCTTGATATTATATCGCCTGATTCATCCCCGCGACTCCAAGCAAGCCTCCTAGCGACTCAATCCTATACTTCCTCTTCTTCAACCCTCCAAGAACCAACTCAATCTCGGCAGCCGAATACGATCGTCTATCGTGCATGATGATGATACCTCCCGGTCTCGCCATACTCAGAACATGCTTCGCGTTAATCCTCGCATTGTGGATTTGCGGATCATGAGGATAGATACTCCCCAACGCAACGCGATAACCCCACTGTCTTGCCTTCTCCAACATTTGCGCATTGAAGAATCCGGAACCGGGACGAAAGTACTTGGGTGGGATTTTGGAACCGGAGATCGGACGATTGGGCGGGAGAAGATCCTCGACTTCTTTGATTTGACGCTCGAGCTCAGAGATGGGGAGCGAGATGGATGGCTCGTCGGCCCAGGCGTGGTTTCCTAACTCGTGACCTTCGGCGTGGATGCGTTGGATTAGAGAGGGGTGCGAGGAAACTTGGCTGCCGATGATGAAAAAGGTAGCTTTGGCGTCGTAGATCTTGAGTAGATCTAAGATTCGAGATGTTTCTCCCGAAGGTGCATCGTCGATTGTCAAAGCGATGACGCGGTGGGCATTTGAGAGAGGAATTTGGAATAGGACGTCAGGATACTTCCATTGGAGGTAATTGATGACGAACTGGGGTGGTTTGTAAATGGTATATCCTAATAAGAGGACTATGAATAGAATAGCTAGGAGGACCAGGAGAATCATTTTAATCATGTGGAAAGATGATTGATGGTGTAGTCGAGTCGGTAAATCATAGGAGTCTACACCGCGCTCTTCGTCATCTATCTTGACATGCTTTGCAGGACCTGATGCAGACCACGAGGAGGCACTAAAACGCTGGATTCTGCGCATGAGACCACCTATTCTGAGACGCATTGGAATGTAAAATGTTGATGGCAAGTCTTAACCATGCTTATAAGTGTGTTTGTTCTCGGAAAATAGATGTCCTTGCTCTATCTAGGTCCATGGGTAGGTTCCTATGCATTGAGTATTGAAATAGGGGATAACGTTTTGTTCAAGTCAACATCTGATGTGGCTGAAAGTATTTACTAGGTCCACAGGTACCTAGGTACCGGTAGGTTGCTGCCCCCCTCTTTTCAGCCACATCTCTGAGCCACCAATTCTTATCGGACAACCTTATCTAATGGCCCGAGGTTTGTTTTTTCCATCTGGAAGCGATTCTATGGATGAGTGATAGTGATGAATGACATTGGTTGTTGGGTTCACCGGTTGTAATGATTGATGGTTTATTATTCCATTACTTTATGACATTACCTCATACTGTATCGGATTCCACGAGCAACTACTAGGTAGCTCACCATCGCATCGCACTAGAGATGACATTCTTCTAGAAGGGAAGGGGCTCACTGTATTATTGACTTTAAGCTAAAGATTCGGAGCTGCCCGCGAAAGTATGATGTTCATGGCAGTCAGTAGTGACTACCTACCTAGGTGTGTACCAGTATGTATCTAGTAATTGCTTACAAAGTTACACTTGAATGGCTGTCTACTGGAACTTTATTTGGTAGACACCTACGAATAATGGATCAACAGACCATCATCCTGTCTGTCTGTCTGTCTGTCTGTCTACTCTAACCTATATTCCATCCCATCTTGCTGCTCGCCAAGTGATAATCGTCTAATAAGACATGTAAAGTGTTCTATCTTAAATATAAGCTTAAACTTCATCTCTGTTCTTCACCACAATAAATGGAATTTGCATGGGAAATTACCAACTACCGGTCTATCGTACTGGTGTTGGTGGTATATATGAACCTGAATGCCTGTCATCAGTGTGAACCTTGAAAGTTAGTGAGTTCGTGGGGAACCGATGACATTCATCATCATTCTCATTCATGATCGTTTGTTAGATGCGGTGTGAGATTTCCAGCTGACATTCCAATTCCTTGGCATCTTTTTCCCCCCAATTTGCCTTCCAAGTACTAGGTAGGTATGTAGATATTCTTGAACCTATTCCCAAAAAGCTCAAGGCAATTCGATACGTAAACCGTATGGCACAGCCTCGTCTTCAATGTACATGCACATACTCGTACATGTACATGTAATTACTACCTAGCAGTCTTACAATCGATTCAATCCAATTATATTTCAACTTGACTTGCCCTTTATTGGCGCCTGAAATCTGATCCATTTCACGACGATTATCTATCCACGTGTGGTATTCACGTTTCTTGGCTCCAAACGGTCGTTACAAACAATTTGTGCTTGAGAAGATGATGCGTTAATTATCACAATCTCATCTTACTCTATAAGCCTATGGAGTTTTTTGAAGTTATCGGGTCTCTCTCAGGTCTGTTACTCTTGCGAAAATTTTCCATCCCATGTCGAACTTTAACTGATTTCTGCCCAACAGGTATCATCCAAAGGAGCGATTCACATCTAGAGTGTCTCATATACTGTGATCGCCTCAATAGAGCGTTGGATATCCATAGTACCTTTGCCGACTTTAACAAGGCTGCGAAATCACCTGAGGATACTTTGGAATTCCCATTGCATCGAAGTTATCTTTTGAGGACATCGAGATACATTCTCGTCACCATTTATTCAACAAACTCGGTTGCTTGTGATATTTTCGTCGCATAGAACTTTTCAGCATGACGGCAGAGAGTCTTGATACCGATAAAATTAAAGAATGGCGATCTATAATCACACTCATTGTTTTTGTCATAACTAGTAAGTGCTAAAATTTTCCCGAATATGCTGCTTTTCCAGAAAGACGTAGTTAGTTAACTTTACCGGAATCACATAGATATTATTGTCCTTTTCCCTTTTCATGTTCCAGTATATGTTCCTCGAAAATTATCCAACGCTTTTCTGGACACCTTAAGTCATTTGCGATTGATCTCGCCAAGGGAGGAAGACTATAAGCATGATCACCAAGATGGCGAAAGCGGAAAAGTCACGCGTTTCGTTAAATTGAACTTCCCTTTAAATTTCGTGACAGCGCCTTTGATAGCAGATCTCTTTCTACTCGCTATCTTGGCAATCGGCCGACAAGAAGTACACGATGGGACAGTTGGGGCAAATAGTATCAATCCGATTGATATCATGGTTTTCTTCATCACCCTAGCATATATTGCCATTTCGATCGATGCTTCTGGTCTCATCAGATATTTGGCATTCAAAGTGCTTCAAAAGGGAGGCAAAGTTGGGCATAGACTGTTCTTCTTCCTCTACGCATTTTTCTTCTGCCTGGGCGCCTTCATTGGAAATGATCCCATTATTCTGTCTGGTACTGCATTCCTTGCTTACTTGACCAGAGTATCGAGCAATATCATTCACCCAAGAGCATGGATCTTCACTCAGTTCGCAATCGCCAATATTGCCTCGGCCATTCTTGTCTCTTCCAACCCAACCAATCTTGTTCTAGCTGGTGCGTTCGGTATCAAATTTATCAATTACACAGCGAACATGATTGTTCCAGTAGTCGCAACAGCGGTTGTTTTGTTCCCATTCTTACTATATATCGTCTTTGCTGATGAAGCTCTGATTCCACTTTCGATTAAAATGCATGAGCTCTCCGAGGAAGCCAAGGCCAAGAAGCCTGTAAATCCGAATATTCCTAATGCTAAAGGAAGCTCCGGTGAGGAACAGGACAATGAACCCTCAGAAGATAAACAACTTTCTCTCGAGGAAATTATGAACCCTTTTGTCGATAAAAAAGGTGCAGCATTTGGAGCTATTCTCATGGCCATAACACTTATTATGGTTCTGGTTCTCAATGCTATTAGTCAGAGCAAAGGCGAGTATCCAGTGTTCTGGGTAACTTTGCCAGCGGCCTTTGTGATGTTTGTTTGGGAGATTTCATTAGGGTGGATTAACCGACATGAAACACGCGAGATCGCTCGCAACGGACGACACGAGGTCGAACTTGCCCGAGCTGAGCGAGCGATCAGAGAAGAGCAAGAAGCGAGTCGAGTCATTTTGGAACAAGAGAAGCGAGATATTCAAAGTCCGAATGGAGCTTCTTTGGTGCTAACAAAATCGCCCGAAGAGTTCGAGATGAAGCTAATGGAAGGCGAAAATGGCCCAAGGAATAGCCGAACTCCCACGCTTTTGGTATCGCAAAGTTTCAATGAGCAAACCCCAAAACCAAGTGATCCCCTGGACTCATCTATCTCAACCCTTGTTCCAACAGAAGACAATTTGCAAAACAATCGCTCTTCGACCAGTGTAATGAGCACACTAGATGAAAAGAAGGAACCAAAGCTCGCGGAATCTCTTTCTTCCCCACCAGGAGCATCGGGTCCACGGATAAGTCATAGATCGGAGTCAAATGACCGAGCAATATCTGAGAAAGCTTACCGCAAGGTCGAAGTCCAAAAGCAGCGTGGTCGTTCAACATTAGTTTCGCTTTTTGGCGAGGGATATCTATGGTGTCAAGAAACATTTCCAACTGTTACAGCAGTAGTTGCTCATCTTCCCTTCGCCCTTGTTCCATTTGCCTTTTCAATGTTCGTTCTCGTACAAGCATTAGTAACCAAAGGATGGGTTCCAGTATTCGCTTACGGCTGGGATCACTGGGTTGATAAGACCGGTACTGTTGGGGCTATTGGCGGTATGGGATTTCTCTCTTGTATTCTTTCTAACGTGAGTACCTCCTTATCAATACCTGGGCCCTCTCAAAACTAATCTAACCCCTTTACATAGTTCGCGGGTACAAACATCGGCACTACAATCCTTCTCTGTCGCATAATCCAAGCGTGGCAAGAGATCCATCGTGACAATGGTCTTCCTATCAGCGATCGAACTTTCTGGGGAACAGTATATTCGATGGCTGTTGGTGTAAACTATGGTGCATTTAGTACGGCGTTTAGCGCATCGCTGGCTGGCTTGTTATGGAGGGATATTCTGGCGAGGAAACATATTCATGTTAGAAGGCTAGATTTTGCAAGAGTAAATTTGCCAATCATCGCTATTTCGATGGCGGTGGGGTGTGCGGTACTTGTCGGACAAATTTATGTGGTAAGGGGTAATGGTCGTTATGATGTGTGAGTGGCTTTTGATCGTGGAAGATGGGGAAAATAGATTTTTGTTATGTATGTATGTATGTATGTATATATTATGATGACGAAATTAGATTTGCATTTCTTGTTAGTATCATTCAAAGGCTAGAAAGATCATTGTTGTCTCGAAGATTTTTGAGAATTGATCAGGGGTTGATTGTTTGATTTTGATGCAGACTTTGAGATGGTGATGACGTTACAGAGTTACCCGATTCATTGATTTCTTCTTCTTCTTCTTCTTCTTTTTCTTCTTCTTCTTCAAACTCCGGATCTTAACTCAACTCCCAATTAATTCATGCATTTCTGCTATCTGTATATCGGGATCTCCATCCAAGTCCTAACTAGTACAAAGCCTCTCAGCTTCGTATATCTCATGTCTAACGAAGAAATATACACACTATATTTCAACGTATACTGCTATCCTCCTGATGACTTCATCATTTGATATCACCGTGTAAGCGACGTGATGGAAGTGAGATTCGGAGTGTGAATCTTTGAGAAGAATGGAGTGGAGATGATGTGTTCGAAGAGGTATTTGGAGAGTTATCCTGGGTTCAGAAAACTTTTTTAAGGCTTTCTATTTGGGTTTCCGAGGGAGGCTGCCTAGGCATGGAAATCATCTATGAGAGATGAAGAATAGAAATACGTACGAAGTCAAAGTTCAGAAAAGAAATACATTTTCAGGATGGAGTGGTTTTTTGACGAGATAGGTTGCGTTTTTGAGAATGCTATGATTTGGCAGCTTCACACTGGTGAGTAGGTATAGAAAGTGGGTGGTTGTGTGGAAGGGTTGAGAGTAATGGACACTTGGGTTTTATTCTGCTGTTTTAGTTCCGTACTAATTTGAAGCCTATTCTACTTCGCGGGTTGTCATCTTGGATGCGAGTATCTAATACGGATTAAGTATCAAGTTCTGTCTGGTTACTGGAGATTTTACGCTGTGAGAGCCAGATGCCTATCGCATTATGTACGAATTCGGTATTGACCCTTGGCTTAGAAAGAAACTTGGAGTGTTTTCATCTGATCATCACGAGATGCACACTTGATATGAGATTACAGAATAGTGCAATATAGGTAGGTATCCGATGCTACCATTGATATATTTCACCCTTCTCAATGTTTGGAATATCAAAGGACGCTCTTGTAGCAACACTGGGAATAGTGTATATATTATGCACGTCCATCATCCAATATTCCTAGCATATACAAACCGTATCTTTGGAATCTGCCACCCATAACCCCTTTCCCGACGAGAAAATAGACGTTCCAAACCCGGATACATCCCTCTATCATCCAATTGAGGAAACCTCAACCCATCATCCCTATCTACTTCCCTTTTCACATCTTCCAACCTCCTCCTCACTCTCTCTTCCGCATCAACCATCTCAAACGATACCTCCGTATTTCCTCTTCCCACTCCCTCCCCACCCTCCACATCAAGCACAAAATAAACTTCTTCCAAGAACTCAAACAAATATAACACGCAAACTAATCCATACCAACCAACCTTAAACCGCTTCCTCCAATAATAACTATCCTCCTCATAATCTAAAACCGCATAATCCAGCGCCACCTTCCGCACATCTTCGTATCTCTGCATATGGCCCTCAGGATAACCAATCGATAGTTTCTTGACCGTGGAAATGCCTTTGAACCAGAAAATATCGGAATCCCAATTTACCAGATCGCTTCCGGGAGAGGCGAGAAAAGATGTGGGGCCGAAAGTTGCGGGGGTCGGGTGTCGAATCGGGGGGTGAGGCTGGATGTGCATTCGTTGGAGAGTTTCTAGCCAGCAGGTTTGTTGGTAGATAGAGCGGGATTCGTGGGATATGAGGAGCGAGGGATGGAAATGGGGTGAGCGGGATAGTGTTAGAGGCCAAGGATCTGAAGCTGTGGGTTGGGAGCCGAGAGCGGTGATGTGGATGCGGGGAAAGGTGAAATAGATAGCCCATACCATGCCGCGAATTTCGGAGGGGAGTTGGGAGAAGAAGTGGAATTCTGGGAGAGGGTTGGTGGGGGGTTTGGATGCAGATGAGCGGAGGGGAGTCAGGGTGAGGAGTCTCGAGAGCTGGCGTGGATGACATGGTGAGAGGAATGTTTTGATGGATCGTTTGGACCTTGGAGGGAGGGTTGGGAGGATGGTGTCTTCTTGTTTAGTATGTGATAAATGCATGGTGATTATAACAACCGGATATAGATAGTCGAGGTAGCGAGATGTTGAATATTCTTATTGTATAAAATGTGTTGACGATCGAATTGTACAGATTTGAAATCAAAAGCATCTAAAGAATCATCCTCAAACATTCGAATAGCATTCATCAGAATCCCAGCTGCTCAAACCCCGAAAAGAAGCATCTAAAATAAGGAGTTCAAAGCAAACGCACGCCAATGCATCCCAATACTTATAGCCAAACGCATGCGAAATTTCTCTCCTAATCATGCTCTCCGATATCCTCAGACCAGCTTCGACGTGGATGATACATGCATATAGTGTAAGCACTACGATGCAGCGTTCCGGGATTTTCCAAACTCGACCTCTCGGAGGATTTAGCTGGATCCACAGTTGGACGGTGATGCATGTAAGACAGATGGGAAGCACGTGGCACCCATGCATCTCTCGTGCCATTCATTACTGATCAGAGCATACCGCATCTTGCAGAGCTGTTGAGATGAACTTTTGGGTATTGCATTGGGGTTGGAAAATGCAAGTCGAGCCGAGAAGAAATCTTTGTGGGTTTTGTATACTTGGATGGATTTATTTATCCGGTCTAATGGTAGTAAATTAGTTCCAATTAACACGTTTTTTCTTTACTCATTTACATAGCTATATTATATATCGCTATATTGTATTGTTATACAATTGCTTCTCCATCTCCTCGATATGTTGATTGACATCCATAAGTTTTTAAACCTATGTAGTTTTGAGTCTTTTTGAAGAAAAGTAAATATAAGGTTGTTTTGAGTTGTAAAGGCGTCATGATATAGTTGATGGAACACGTCCTGCCCTTATCCCCTACCTTTTACAAAGCTAGGGGGCGCGCTCAAGTTGGATACTGGATACGGTAAAATTGTTTCAAGCTCATATATATATCATCTAATGAACCTACAGTGAGATTGGAAAGTGATAAATGAATTTATTTATCAAAATTAATATCAACACACTACTATGTAGTATATACAGCGTCAGAACCAAATATCGGAAAAAACTATCCACAATACAATACAAGAAGCCAAATTTTCATTCCGTCTTTTACTCTCCAGTTCCTCCCAATCTGTCGTCTCCGTCGAGTTCGAAGATACGTCAAGATGTAACCTAAGGACGTTTAGTAGACAGGAATCTTAAATGCATCAAAGGTGTAAGTCCAGCTATCAATCGAAGCCTCATCATGGACGCAATCGAAAGTAGTACTGTTGCTCTGCCAGAGAGGACGAGTTGGCCATTGACAAAGCATCTGAGTCTCGCCTGCATATGTACCCGAAGATACAGTTGCATTGAGAGCAATGGGCTTGACTCCATTTTCAACCCAGTCGATCATAATTTCCATTTTATCCTCGGGATAGGGACCAGGCTGAAGAGAGTTGGTTCCGCAGTGGGCTGCACCAGGAACAAGGTAGAATTGATACCAGTTCTGGAGTGCCTCTAGACCCTCTTCAGCAGTAGCATTGCTGTACATAGCGGAACGAACGGATTGCCAGTAGTGTACGGATGAGGCGGATGGAATACTTGGATCGGATTCACCGTGGTAGTGAAGCAACTTACCCCCAGAAGATTGGAAAGTAGTTAAATCAGGGAGGGTAGTTTGTAAGCTATCCATATATCTCACCATACCAATGTTCATCCACTCAACAAGAGTATCGTAAGTAACGTTATCAAGGTCGGAAAGATTGTCGAGATCGAGCAATTGAACGTACTTGGTGACATACGCTCCTCCAGTAGATGGAATGCTAAGTTCCCAGGATCCAATGTTGTTGTTGTACGTGGTAGCGGCATCTCCAAGGTTGGAAGCAATCTGCCAGGAAAGGTATGCACGCTCGTTATCGGAGTTGTGGAGACCGTCATAGATGGCTTGAGCGACAGCGATACCCTCAGCAGTCACTGTTCCATTCTGGGCAGGTGTAGTGCTGGTTGTACTACCTTGTGCACGCTTACTGAATCCGAAACCGAGAGAATAGGGGGTAGTTGCTGCGCAGTAGTATGATTCGCCGATAATCGAACTGAGGTTGAAGTTAAGCTTGCAAAGATCTGTGCGAGAAACCACACCGTCTGTTCGTCCATCGAGAGGATCGCAAGCAGCGATGGTAGCATTTACAATTTTATCCATCTCTCAAGGTGGTGGGTAGTAATCCAATGTGTGTTCAACGGCGGATGAGAAAACGTGATGGACTTGTTGCTGCGCGAAACGGAAAGCCGGAGCACCTGCAATAACTCCATCGTATTCCTCGCCCCAGCGCTGAACTTGACTCATACCCTCTCTTCCTCCATCCGAACATCCTTCATAATAGGTATAGACCTTTGTGTCATCGGAAAAGCCGTAGAAGCCCTTCGTAAGCGTCTTTCCAACCTGAGTCATCTCACCTAATGCTTGGTACCCAAACATGTACGTCGCGTCCCAGTTGATAGATCCGTTGCCATATAGAACTACCTCATCATAACTGTAGTCGAAGGCGTCGTACCCTGCATCAGTGGCACCACCAACGGCGCCATATGCAAGCCCTCCAGTTGCGTCACTGGAAAGAGAATAACCACCTCCACCAGCGACGTAGAAGCGATTTTCAAAATCTGAAGGACTTGGGAAAGCATACTTTATGACCACCTTATCGCCCTTTCCAGTGTGGGTGTAGGTTACTGTAACATTACAGTAGGTGTAGGTGGTAGTGCTACCCATACCAGCAGATGCATTGTAGACAGCGCCCGCTGTCACGGCTGAAGGGATCAAATCGATATCTAGCAAGGTTCCATTTGCAGGTATTGCGGCCTGAACATTGGATACAGTGCATACATCGGAAAGCGATGCAGCATTCACTGTCACCGCAAGAGCTGCGGGAGCTGTGCGCGAAGATTGGCGCATATTGATGAATCTAATCAAAGTATTGAACAAGAGGAATAAGAGTGAATCAAGAGAATGTCTGATTTAGGTTGAAACAACGAATGTGAAGCAAGTGCCGAGAGTAAATCATCACCGGTACTTGCAAAGAATTATATATACATTATTACAGGCTTAATTGAGGCATTGAACGGGTCCGTTCATCATCATGGTCTCGAGATGAAGATGACCAGGAGGATACCGTCGCCGCGTCATGTGCAGACGTATAGGTTGGCCCATAAGATTAGCTTAAGGCATAGAAACAAAAATAGGTGATTGTCTTCTCAGAACGAAACGAAACGAATAGTCAAGCAGTTCCTTCCTTAGCCGCGATTGACTACACCCCTCTTCCAGGCTTCGTAAGCTCCGTCAAGAGGATGTCACTGCAAACCTAAGCTTAAAAACAAATACTGCCACGATATAGGGCTGGGTTGGAATATCCCTATCACTACGAAGTACATGTGGCGTATACCAGTAACTACCGTGCATGATTACGTAATTACCTGGCGAAGATCACCAGGATCTCGGTTTAGAGTGTGTATACTCCACTTAGTCTACATTGCATGGTGGATCGAGACAGGCCTTATATAAACGACGATGTCACTGAATGTAAACCATTGGTGGCCAAGCTGCTTTTTGGTAGTGAAGTACACAGTTATAGACTTATAGTATTGAAGACTTCGGGACCGAAACTCTTGGTCAACTTGATCGCAGCTGTGATTGCAAAATTGTGCCGCGTGTCGCTTGTCCTCTGATATCACAGGCTTCTAGCTTCAATTTATATTATGGTGGCTGATGTTGAAGCCTTCTAGTGTATATGAGTTATCGAATTATTCTTTGGAATATGTACAAGCCATACGGTATGATAAAAAACTGATAACATACTAAAGTACTAGAATCTCATAAATTCTTTAGTGTCTCAGCCACATCCTTTGAGCGCATAAGGATATTCAATAGATTTCTCCCTTCCTCAATAAGCGATATTGAAGCTATCTTAATTGGACTTTACTTGGATCCATTGAACCCGGTATTTCCTTATCTTTTCAGCAGTGTAAAGTATCATGCAACAATATCAATAGTTTCTATGATATGATTTTCGATATCGCATGTTAGAATGCGTAATAGAAAATGCAATACCCTTCACCACAGTGGGGCGTATATTCAATACTTGCTATACCGCTTCAACTACCAGGACTTGTATTACATGTGAGCTAAAGATAGATACATATGTATCGATCTGAATGTCATAGTCTGGATGTATTCTAGTACAGAATGAGAGCATCCACAAGGAAACTGCCGATATTCTACAAAGTGACCACAAAAAAGGGAGAAGCGAATTAGATTAGAAGGTGTGCCATGGAAATGTTACAGAAATGTAGACACGTCTTTGATAAGCCTGCCTCATTATTTGACAAAGGGCAACGAGTTTTGAAACTACCTTCACCTCACGCTTTGTACTAATCGGCATGAATATCAAATGCAACAAGTGTAGGAAGTAATAACCTTGGTCTAGGCTCACCCCTATCTTACTGCCGGGCGAGAAAGATAATAGCGGTGACAGTGAATCAAGCGTCAAGCTGATCAGCCAGCAACGCTCGGAGTAGAGAGGCGCGATTATGGCGCAAAAAAACTGACCAAATTATCTTTTCAGCTTCCAGAAGTCGGACGGAGAATGAGCTGCAAGATATTGTCTCAACCCCGTTAGGATACCAGCTGTAATAGATTATGTTGCCCCATTCACGAGGGAAATAGATTGAGACCTACAGATAATCAAACAGATACATTCTTTTTTTAGTTCGGTCAATTTTGCCCGACCCAGAACTCGTATTGTCTCGAAGCAAGTGCGATAAAACGTTGGAAAAGATCGTAGCACCGTAACATAAATAAAGGAAACACCACTTCTAACTCGAGTTGTGAAATCTTGTCGAGTATTCATCACCACTACCATCGTTATTCTGCCTATTCGTTATTTCTCTGAGCCACTCAAAGCGAACGCGTATAACTTTAATGACCAGCAACAGTGATTATTAAACTTGCCTCGTCTTTCACACAAGAATAAATCAGTGCCTGCATGATACAGTATAATGCAAATCACGAAAAGGGGTTTCTCGGATGCAATTCCAAGTGTTCATAACGACCATAATGGATTCATTATCTGGAACCGCATGAAAACTCTAGTAGATAAGAGGCCTAAGACAAACCGGCCTCGGGATTGCTCATCCGTTTCTGGTTTCTTATCCTTTGATATTCAAAGTGGGCGATGGGTTGTGTTAGCAGCTACAAGGTACGTGAAGTTACTTACAAGTGAAATCTTCAGAGGTAGTAACAACTGATGTGTAATTAATTGAAAAATTCTTAAATATTATTGCTATTAAGCACACACATTCAGGAGACTACAGACCAGAGCTTTCCGGCTATTACTAATATTTCCCTTCTAGAGAATCACGATGAGAGAAATAGTCGAGCAAAAAGTAATGTTGATACTGCAGCCAGATTGAACATAGTTATTAGTATGAAAACCAGACTACGTGATCTAATAGCCTCTGGTCTGCGAAGTAAGATTCTCAAGGGGCATGTAACGGATGAGTTTCTCCACTATAACGGCCAACTTGACTGTATTATGAAAGGAACAATTGTAATTAGGGTCAATTGAAAAGTTTGGTTATTCTCATTTGTGCATTAGTAGAGCCGTTACAGAATTTGGTTAAGAGAGTGTAGGCAATGACTCATGTTTCGAAAATACGTTATATTTGAGGATAACAAGGCTTAATTTTGTTGGATCTGAGAGATATTCTACATCTCTGCTCACAACTTTTTGGGCGATGAAATTGATCAATACAAAATCGATCAAGAGCCCTGTTGGTGAGGACAACGCAGAAATCGACCAAAGTCAGTTCGAATATCTTGAGAATTATTTCAATGATTGAATGCAGACTGAACAATCGAACAATGGGTTCTGATACTAAGTAATTATAGAATGAATGTATTACAGGCTTTGAAAGTTGAGAAATATTCTATCAGTTTACAAATCTATAAGAGTTCCTAACTTTGAGTTATTCGTAATGATTGCCGCACCTAGATGTCATGTTCCTCAGACAAAAAAGATCAGGACATTATTCTCTAGCCCTAATACACAATCTAAATGTAAGTCCTTAGTACAACAAGCAACAAACACAAGATTGTTAAGATCCAATAATCTACTAGGTCGTCAGTTCCGCAACTCGTGTCGACTAGCAGTAGTTCGGCTATACTTATACAGAAGAACCAATATAAGATGGAATTTATTACTGACATAGAAGTTTGTATATTCTCCTACACGTAGAATTGTATTTAGATTGAAATCGAGAGGAAGAATTAGAAACTTATAAACTTATGTAAATAAATGTTAATGATTGAAAATTGATATCATAATATGTCTAATTATAAGCGTCTTGTAGTTAACTCTATGAATTTAACCGATATTAGCGGCGCTAAGTAGATATTGTATGAGGATCTAAACATTAATTACGATTGAAAGACTACTTCACTCTAAGCTTAACTCTTTAAATAGATGTTCTGATAGATAGTACTTAGGTATACAATATAGAACTCTATCTAAATTTGATTAAAAAGTAAGATTCAAAGCTTGTAAAATTTTGTGGATGAAATACTGATTTTTTAAATTCTCTTTGAATATAGTATAACTGTAATCCACACAAACAAATATCAAATACAAAAGAGTTAATTTACATCTGATTACTTTCCCTAAGCCCTGTAATGTTATTTTGCTCTGGGCTCAAGCAAGATAATTTCTCAGGACATACTTCTTCGAGGGTTTTCCATTTTTGTATCTTGTAATTTACAAGTTTCACTTGATTAGATCATTATATATTTGAGAGTGTGTTCGCTAAATAAATTTCAAGAACAAGTACGAAGAAAGTGTCTCTCTATCAAGATAAAATTAATCAAGCGTCAACTGGAAATTTCCACGTGCACAGACAGAAGGGGGGAGGGAAAAGACCGATAAACAAGCGAACGCATCTCCCACTATCTTGATGTTCACAACAAGCTAAGAAAATCATATCCCAAGCTTTGTATTGTATGATATTATAATTGACTTTGGAAGATTCTACCACTTTCCTTCAGCCTGCAATTATATTACAATAATTGTGATCACCTGGACTTCGGGATAGGATTTCAACTTCTCGGATCAAACTCCTCCATCTCACATATACAGATATGCAGTCGCCTCTGAAAGGAGATCTGATCCCGCAAGATGGAGTGGCATTCAATGACGAATGCCAATATTTCAATAAACTCAATTCCTTGATGCAATCAATCAACACTCATCACTGCGGAAAAACATCACATGCCCACATATTTCACCAAGACATACAGTTTATCTCACGTTTTTCAAGCAATTGGTTGTGTTGAATGGATATACCAACGTGTATGTACATGGAAAATATGCAGGGGTAATAGAAACTAATTCATTCTATTAACCTTCTTCACATGAAGAAGGAATGCTAAAATGTCTGGTGTTCTCATCCCACTCTATGAATGGATATGCCACGTACACAGTATGCATGAGAGCGGGATGGAATATGATCGATGTAACCGTTTTACACGTCAGTATTCCGACAGGTTGGAACGCATTTTTCTCCGCTGAGCCCCGCACATAAGCCAATCAACTCGAATTGCGTTTCTTCAGACGTTGAATTTTAAATGAAGTTTATTAGTCGATTTGCTAGAACGATGCCACCCTCATCTAGCTAATGCAATTATATCCCGAAAAACCGTTTGAACTTTAGTACCGTTGGTACCGTTGGTATCGGTGAGGTTTTTGGTAAGAGCATTGCCGGAGGAAGGAGTAGCAACAACCAGTAGCATGATAAAGATTGAAAATGGCTTGGCGTTAGCTTCAAGGTGATAATTAGGGCTGCAATCGAGCTTTTGGAAATGTCAATTACAATACTTTGTAAGAACATAAAAAGCCCAAACGTTTAGTGAACCAGTTCAATTCACCAGTATTATCTTGAACGCTTTACTTTGCTTCTTTTACCTGCCACCATGCCTACCGAAGAGATTTTCGCGCAGTCCCCCCCCTTCCCCAACGATGTTCCAACAGCTGAAATCCCTATAATCTCATACAAAGCCCTGCAGAGCAATTCCTCTTCTGAATCGGATAGGCTCTTCGATTCTTGTAGAGAGCATGGTGTTTTCTTGCTTAACCTGCGTGGTTCTGAGGAAGGAGAGGCACTTCTGAAAGATGCTGAATCCATGTTCAAGATTAGCAACGCCACTTTTGATCTTGAGCAGAATGAGCTCATGAAATACGTCAGCGATCCTCCTCGGGATCTCAGAGGGTAAGTACACAAACATAGCTCATTTTAATTTCGCAAAGAAAAAAATAAACTGACATCTTGATAAGCTACAAACCAGTTGGAACTTTGAAGACTGGCGATGGCAAATTCGATGCCATTGAAGTTTACAACGTCAACCAGGACGACGCACTGGGTCTTGAGCCAAATCCAAAGCCCGATCCTTATCCATTTGTTGAAAAAAAATCTTCAATTCAGTCATTTTTCCGCCGTGCACACTCTGGGATCTGCGCTGTATTTTCTCATCTCGACAATCACCTTGGACTCCCGTCTGGAACCCTAGCTTCTACTTGCCCAATTGATAAGCGCTCAGATACATCCCTTCGCATGGTATACACACGCCCCCAACCCGTTGTTGACCACCGTGTTGCCTTCGCGAGTCATACCGACGTCGGCTTGATAACCATGCTGTTCAATGTTGTTGGCGGCCTTCAAATCCTCCCTGCAGGCGTCGAAAACAAGAATGAGAATTGGTTATACATAAAGCCACAGCCGGGCTGTGCAGTGATCAATTTGGGCGACACTTTGGTCGAGCGTACTGGCGGTGTCTTACGTAGTGCTTTGCATAGAGTCATAACACCTCCCGGTGAGCAGGGAATGCATGTCAGGAGGAGCTTAGCATATTTGGTCCGGTGCGAGAATGATGGGAGTATGAAAAGGTTCAAGGGCAGCGGCATTCCAGCCTTGGCGAAAGAGGAGGCTGATCAGTCGAAAACCGTACGAGAGTGGGGTGAGTGGAGGATCAGACAGATCATGAACGGGGACTTAAAGCCGCAAACAATGGGGGGAAAAGCATTCGTCGGGGCGCCTGCTATCAGTGTATAAGCTTGATAAATATTACGGAAAAGTAAACGAATCTAGCAAAGCTTTAATAGATCTTATATTTTTCATTATTTGATGCGTCTTAATTGAGCAGAGAGAATCGAATCTTGTAAATTCAAAACAGCTCGTGCTTAAAAGTGTAAATTAAAAGTAACATTCTAGGGAAATTGGTACCTCCATTCAAAATGCTAGGTGCCTGGAAGTCATTCAGAGTCGATTGCTGTACTGTCTAGGGATTGAATTTAGGGATTGAACAGGAAACTGCCTAGGCTAATTATTGGCGAAATTTAAAATGTTATCCAAAGATGTGAAAAAATACCGGAATAAAGAGTGCTCGAGTCTTAAATACTCTCACAGTCCCACTACAAATCCGAATCTACTGACAGCATTTGAGCTTGTACATGTGATGCGAACAGCGTCGCAACAGAAAACTACCACGATATTATTTAGCACAAAACTAAATGTCCAAGTGGTTACTTTTTGTCTTTATAGCTTAGAACTTTAAACTGACAGATCAAGTATTGGATAAAACATAGAGAAGCGACCTGATTACTAATCAAGAAAGATGCTTAACATTCCAATTCGCTCTGGTCCAGGATAACCTTAGAGGAATCGTAGGAAATCAGGCTGAACATTCGACGACGAGAGTGTCACAATTGGAGAAAGCGATGGAGTAGTTATGATCTTGAGAGATTTTATCTTCATAAAGAGAGAGTCAGCCATTAAGTGTCCCGCGAAGACAAGACAAAAAATAGTCATGAGGCAATTCGAATCAAAGGTGACTAGAGCTTGAGATTGAAATTGAGGAAATCGCGATTTTGAGGAAACGCGGTGATGAGAGTGATAAAGAGTTGATCGGAAAATGCCGAGGAGAAATAGGGTCAAACAAAAATAGTGGTTTCTCTTGATGGGAATCAAAAAGAAAACGTGCTATCCCTTCGAGCGAAAGGAAAAGTTCTAGTACCTAGATATAGGTGCTGATATTGCGTGCTGGATGACGAGAGCACTTGACGAGAAGATCTTTGATTGGCTCGGAAGATTGCCGAAAAGGGGTATGTTTAATCATTGCAAGAACATGAAAACAAAAATAAAAGCTTTAACGAGATCCAGATTCAAGTTCGACTCTGAAGCAGCTAGATCTAGGCTCATCTTCAAAGCATTCTCGGCTCTCGCAAAAATTGAGTGTAAGATTTGTTCTCATTGCATTTATTCGATTATTTCTTATCAAGTCGATCGATCCTCTCCCTTAGTTTCCCGATCTCTCTAGGCGTAGTTTTGCAACAACCTCCAACAATGATATCCTTCCACAATCCCCTATCTCTTGCCCTTCTGACAATCTCAAGAACCGCCTCATCCCACTGCAAATCTTCTTTTCCGGGTGGCTCTCTAATTTCCCATACTTTGGTAGAGGTATTATAGACTTCTCCCTTGATCGTTCCATCGGGATATACTACCAAAGATGGCCATTCACTGATATCCCCTTTCTCGATTAAAGCCTTAACTTCTTGCTCAAATTCCACTATCAAAGATTCAACTTTTCCGACTTTGGTACAATTCAGACCGATTCCAAATGGTACTGGAGAACCATCTTTGTTGCCCAACATTGCTTGTACAATTTGTTGCACAGAGCTTCCACCGGGTAAGCAATTTCCTTCGCCAGGGAATACACACGTGATCCAAAATGGCTTGCTTCCAGCCGTTCCACTGTTCGAGTTTTCAACTTCTCCCATGGATTTTCTTACACCCTCAATCTCCTCCAATAATGGGATGGTTTCAAATGCCACATAGTCAACTCTATCCCAGCATTTTGGATCTCTCGAGAATACTGAAATTCTCTCATGGTGCCATGAGCTTAATTGTTCGCTCGATTTATGGTCATCATCGTATTTCCCGGTATATTCTTGTCCCGGAGCCATGATCGCACCGTATGCTCCAAGGCTTAGTGCAATTCTGCCATTTGAATCTCTTTTGGTGGAAAATGCATCGGAAGCGATGTCTACAGCGCTTCTCATAATGCTATTTACCTCCTCCTTGTCCCCATCTTCTTTTCCCGAGTTAGAAGATGAATGTGAATGAACAGCATATCCTGATCCTCTAAATCCCTCATAACTCGTTTGATAAGTTGCAGTTAACAAAATATCAGCACCAGCATCCACAAAGGATTTTTGAGTAGCGAGGAGTGTTTTGGGTCCATGGGGATGAGTTGGAATGAGTAGCTGAGAAGACCATAGAGGTTCCTTTTCTGTGAATTGTACTTGGTGGGAATCACCTAGGGTAGTGCCAAGACCTCCGTCAAGGAGGTGGATTTTACAACCAGGGGACATTTTGAGAAGCTGTAAAATCTGACGAACACAGGATAGAGGATCGACAGAACCAATGACAGTTGGAAAGTTGGACTACAAGTCTGTATGTGAGATACAGTAGAGGGCAGATTGAGGAAGAAAAGTATGCGAAGTGGGGTATTCAAAGGGTTTTCTCTCGGCCCGCTCTCGCTGAAAAGATGGCGTTATCAATGGATAGCCTTACGCGGCAGATTAAAAGTTACCTAAGAAGACGCGATGAGTAGTTTGAGGGTTTAGACTTGCTCTTGCTTTGAAACAACAGCATCTACATAAAGATTTTGTTTGGACTACTCCCCTCATGCTTATATCATCCACACAAAATCCTTAGTCCTCCCCTCCAGAGAAAATGAAATTGATAATAGCAAAATTATGGAAAAATTGATCAAAGCCTCTTCTTTTTGCAGCTAAGATGAGAAGTCATTTGTGTGTGTATTACTTGGAGCGCACTTGAAGTGTATTGTCTCATTTCATAGAAGAAAATGTAGAGCTTGATATTCCAGCTCTTCGATACAAATGATCAATTGCTCTCGCCCAAATTTGGTTGGTTGCCTCGAGGTTGCATGCACACGAGTATCAATGCCAAGATTTTCACATGTCAGCCACATTTCCTTACGCCACAACTATGACGCAGCAGCCAGTCAAGTGAATCCAGGTATCACTTATCATTTCTTGAATCTCGAGGTGTCCTTTCCACCTCTCATGTTCATATTTGCGGTCGAATCTGCATACCTAGAACTCTTTTCTACATACTACCATATCTTATTGAAAAGTCTAATACTACACGAAATCCTAGAATATTCTTAAGTACCGCATCCTATAAGCATTTTCGAACCTGGAAGAATGACATTGCCTTCAGATTATTGTGAGTCCTTCAGACTATTCCACTCACCCATTGAGATGGCCAATATGCTAATAGTTTTCATTTGCTAGATGCCGTTCTTGGCGTACCATCCACTGCAACCCAGCAACAGATCCGCAATGCCTACAAAAAGTACAAACTTCTTCCCTACCCCTCTTTCCAGATCACCAACTAACCTTCGTCACTCAATAGAGCAGCTTTAAAAACCCACCCCGATCGGGTTGCCTCTGACTCCCCCGAACGTGCAGAAAGAACCCGTAAATTTCAACAAATTAACGACGCATACTATACACTCTCGGAACCCACTCGTCGTCGCGATTATGACGCTGCCCGTACATATCATGGATTTGGCTCTGGAGCCTCCACAGCCTCCACGTCTATGGATGATGATGAAGAAATTCCCGATCCATCTGCTGGACCTGGTGGATTCCCATGGTCTAGTTTTGGCTTCTCGTCGAAGGCGAAGAACCCAGAGGAGGAAGAGAAATTTCAAGACGCACAATTTGGAGATGTATTTGAAGAGATGTTGAGAGAAGAAGGAATGGCAGAGAATAATAATTCCCCTACCGGGAAGTTCTGGAGTATGGTGGGTGGATTGAGTGGAGGAGCTATGGGATTTATTGTTGCGAATTTCCCGGGAATGTTAGCTGGAGCTGTGGCAGGGAATAGGTTGGGTGCTGTGAGAGACGCCAGGGGAAAGAGCGTTTATTCTGTTTTCCAAGTAAGTTGAGATTGAGTGTTAAACGTGGGAGAGAATGAAAGGAAATTATGCTAATATGTGTGCTGTATAGGAACTCCCTCAAGGCGATAAAGCAAGACTATTAAGTCAGCTCGCCGCAAAGGTTTTCAGTCATGCTGTGGGTTCATAAATTACGATTTGTCACGAATTTGAAGAGATATCTTTTGCTTTGGACTTATTGACAATGGGGCTGGCGTTAGAGGACTACAGGGTTAGGTTATTGAGGGTATTGGGTACAGTTGATACAATACAGCAAGCGAACAGGAGATTTATACGATGGTCGGGTAGCGTGGATAGGTCAAATTATGTATGTAGATATCCAATACAGCAGCATAAGGAGCTGAATTTTCAATGTCCGTGAGGTAAATCAGGTGATATGTTAAGGGGCTGCACTACTAACGGAAAAGAAGTCAGGCAGATGAAACAAATAGATCGTGGGGAGCATTCTTTGAAGATGCATGTATTCGTGTTCGCCTGCAATTAATAGGCAATGGAAGCTTGATACTGAGCGTCGCTTGTGAAACTCATCAAGACCACCAAAAGTATATGGCTTGAGTCTGGAGAGAAGATCGAGTTAATCCTACTATGTAGCCGAACTCACTCATTGATTCCCCTCATCTAATCACATCATGAAATTCCAACTATATTCCAAATCTTTTGTATTCAAGAACAGTTACACACTATCACCTCTAATCATGGTATCTATATCCGCAAAAAAAAATGCAGGCTTTTGTGAAAGAAAGAAAGCGAGAAGAGAAGAAATCAAAAGGAAAAGAATCGACCCAAATATCCAACGCCATACCCAGCCCGATCAAGATATCCTCATCACGTCATGTCACCTCATCTCTCATCCAATTCGCAATCATTCCAGACTCCACATCAGATGAACAATTTCGCCAACTTCATCGCCCCTCCTACTCCTTCCATGCCGCCCGCCAACATTCCCAATTTCCCCATTGCGCCTCCAGTGCTCTTCACGGTACTTCTCTCATACTCGTAAGTTCCATTACCTCCATTTCCTCCGAAGAATCCGCTTCCCCCACTTCCCCTTCCCTTTCCGCCGCCAATCAACTTGTCTAGTCCTCCAGGTAGCCTAACCCCGAATTTTTTCAATAGTCCGGCTAGCGCACCACCTGTTATGAGAGGCATGATCACGAGCATGAATACTTTTAGCGGGTGGCGCTTCATGTAATAGATGAGATCGCGCAGAAGTTCGCGCAATTTGGCATAGATGCGTTTTAAATAGTTGGGACGAGGAGAACGCTTGTAGTGGGATGTGGAGCGGGGGATGCCTAGAAAGAGGAATTTATTAATTCATTATTCGATTGCGCGATGGGAATATGGATATTAGATAGATTGAATTACGAAAACAATAATAGAATTGTAGAAATAAATAGAGATACATACCAAAGAAACTACTCCGACTAGAATTATGTTTCGCATCTCCGCTGCCAAAAATGCTGTCGGTGCCTCGCGTACGACTTCTGGAACGCTCGCGATGGCTGTGACTTGATTTGGGAGATTTGGGAGATTTAGGAGATCTGGGTGATTTGGGAGATGTACCTCCTAAAACACTTCCGATAATTCCAGAAGAATCTTTGTGATGGGTAGAATGAGAGGAGGAAGGGCGTTTTTTGCTGGAATGCGAATGAGAAGAGTGACGTTTTGAGGAGTGGGAGCGACCTGATTCGGAGGCGCCATCAAACCAACCCATTTTTGCGAGATTTTAGGGTTCTTACTTTGATGTGAAGAGAAAGAGAGGAATTGAAGAATTGTTGATGTAATTGAGAGTTGTGAAAGGGAACTAGAAGTAATAGAGAGTGAAATTAAAGTAAGTGAATAATGTAACCTCAAACCCTACGGATAAGTAAGGTAACCGATACTCGTCTCGTATCACCAGGTTATGAGGGGTTCAGAGCTTCAGTTCTTGTTCGCCCGCCGCTATGTCCAAATAACGTCCCGTTCCTAAATTTTCCCGCAATCAATTCAATCGATAATAATCGATAAGGAGAAAGAAACTCGTGGAGGAGTGGAGTCATGACCGAACCACCAGTTTCTGCAAAAAATGCAAGACAGAAAAAGAAGTGGAGGAAGAAAAGGTGGTTCTTGACTCTGTCTTCTCGTCTGGAAAAAGAAAAGTAAGCTTGCACGGTTTGCAGAAGCATCTTCTCACAGCTGACAGGTGGACCAAATGCGAACTCCTCTAGGATCAGTGCCATCCCAACCTCCTGAATTCTGGCGGTGAAGAGAAGGCTAATGCATGGATTCTGCGTGGCTACAGGGATGCCCCAGTACACGTGACAGTATCGAGAAGAACGGTTGGGGTGCTATTTGTGGGAAGGAAACCCGTTAAGTATATGTCCCATGTGGGCATATCGTGGTCGTAGTTTGTTGAGTTTTGAGTTGGAATGAGATATGGGAAAGTAGGGGAGGGGGGACGAAGGGTTTTTAGATTTGTGATTTGCGAGGCATTTAGTTTAAAAGAGCGTTCGTTGCGTGAGTAGCGTTGTCACAGTCTTGGCCGTGAGGGAATTATATATATGGTCAAGAATGCATAATCTTATGTTGAAATATCATGAATTCAATGAGACCTCGAATTTTATCCGATGAGTTGGTTACCATTGTTGAATGAAATCGTTCGGAACCCTTCTACCTAGGTAGTCAAGTAGGGCCTCATTATATCTGCACACTCACTGATGGACGCCCTTTCGGACGCCCTACAGGGATCGCTATGATGGCATGAGATGGAAATGTAGGCGCCTTACAAGCCAGAAGCAGCTGGAATATATCACTATCTTCGCTTAAGCCTGCTGTCGATATTGCATCAATACAGGCAAGTTTTTCAAAACTCTCTAAAAGTTGATCCAGTAATAGTTCGTCGACTTTATGACGATGATATTAACATGCCACTGCTAAAGCATTCAATTTCTCATTGTTTTCGAAGATTCCTGATCTAGAATTAAGGAGTTCCTCGTCTACTTCGAGTCTGTCGTACTTTACATAGGGCCGTACCATAACAGTTTGAATGGCTGCATTTACCTCCAGCACAGCGATTTTTCCTGTATACGTTGCCATTTGTCATGGACTTTTCGATTGGGACGCGAATATCGTCTTCTTCTCATCAAATCCCACTCTAAAGCTGTTAGTTTCTTCTACCTCGACCTCTAATTCAATACATGCTCCATACTCAATCAAGACTTTTGCAATGTTCTCAAGACCACTGCCACAGAACATATGGAGGGCAGTAACTCGCTGATCTGAGTAGCCACGATCGGCATCGAAAAGTGAAGGAGGCATGCACCATTTGACTTCAGCGTTTGTAGAAATCCACTGGCTTATTTTGTGTTGAGACATGTTGAGACATGTTGACTTGAAGCTGCAAGGTTCTTCTCTTTCTTATTCCTTCCAAGAAAAATCTTGAATCAAATTTATGGAACACCTTCGTTGAAACGAAAGGGTTTGATCGAGAGCGAGCTGCACGAAGTCGACCCCTCTTGCGCCCTCTGTTGTGCCACTTCAAGACTTGCCTATGAATTTTTACACGTTTGTGGTCCCTTAGAAGATATGGGTCCACTTGTCGACCTATACTTCCAAGCCCTCTTTTCTCGCTATCGAAATATGGCCATCTCTGGTAAATTATGCTAAGAATGATTTTCACCAACAACCATACAAGCAATTATACCGACTACTTTCATGCCATCTCAACCCACCTGTACTCGCAAGAACCTCGTACTTCAGCACCACAGCAGGACTTTCATGCTTGGAATTGTCGGCTTCAAGCATTGTAATGAGAGTGTGTCGAGTGGAAGATGGGTGAGAGGGTGGGTGATGAGTAGAGGTGATCTTCTATTTCAAAGCTTCCACGGTTTGCCATCAGGAGACTGCTAGTGAAATTGAGACCTGGTCTCAAAGAATTAAGGTACACTTATTCAATCTCCAATATGATTCCAACACTTGCAGGTTTAAACCTATTCATAATTTGATCATACCTACCTACCTACCTATATGAAGATCACGCTTGAAGGTTATTGTGGTTGACTTGAACTGGTCTGACTAATCAAACCATAGTAGAAAAAAAAGCGTTAGCGTGTGCCGCTCCCGAGCCGCTTTTAAAGAGAAAAAAAATTGAAGCTGGAAACAAGCGACAAAGCCCTCTGTAGCCTCGCCTTCTACCTACCTACATATGTACCTAATCGGAGCGACTGACTCCTCCAAAGAAAATTTACCCAAATATGGCGCAAGCAACAAAAGACAGCTTTCTCGACTTGGAGAAGTATCGCCTACAACTTGAGGATAACATAGCAAAACTTCGAAAATCGCTACAGCACTGGCAGACGTGGGATGCGGAATATGATGGCTTGAAAGAAGAAATTCTTTCAGCAGATCCTACCCCAAATCGCGAGGAACTCATCTCTATCGCGCGAAGTTACGAAGCCGATCTGGTCAAAGGAAAAGAAATCGAAGATATACTTGGTACTAGTACCCAAAGAAGCGCCGAACAAGTTGTGAATCTGTTAGATCGACGACTAGACTATGTTCAGCAAAACATCAGAACAATCGAGAAGCAAATCGAGACCGCAGAGGAAAAATTGGCCAAAGCGACTATCATTAGTACTCCGGACGTAAGAAATGAGGAAGGACTTCCTGTAACAGAAATCATCGAAGAGTTGGATGATGAAGGAAATGTCATTTCATCAAGACTATCAACACCAGGAAATGTGAAGCCACAATTATTAGAGGTACTACACAAAGCCGGAATAATAGAGCCGGTATCAAAGGATGAATCGGGTGTCGTGGAAGAGGTAGAAGATGATGGACCAGCCAGCAAAGCTTCAATACAAGTCGACACTACCCCCCAGGCGACCGAAACGAAGAGCGTTAAGGAATCCACCCCACCCACTACATCTTCCAAGCCTGGACCGAAGAGTGTGAAGTTTACAGATGATTCGAAAACAGAGTCCGCGGAATCAAATGCAACGATTTCTCCAGCCGCAAAGCGCCTTGAACAAATTATGCAAGCTGCGAGAGAATCGGAAAAGCTTTCATTTGAACCTGCCGTCATACCTACCGATGAATCTCCAGAGGATGCTGCTTTACGACGAGATATGTTACAATATGGAATGTCAGAAGTTGGATCTGTAGTGGCGGAAATCAATCTAGAAGATGGAAGTGACTGGGAATCTGAAGACTATGCAGACGATTCTGATAGCGATGATGAGGATCAATTTGGAAAATCAACACGTCAAGTTATGGATGATGAGCTCCGTCAACGTATGATTGAGCTTGAAGAAAAGCTTGGTGTTAGGATGATGGAGAATGTTGGAAAGAGTTCTGATGATTATGGCATGGTCCAAGAAGGAATTGGACGGATATCTATTAGTGGCGAGGATAACAAGGACTCTAGCAAGGGAATCCTCACAACCTCCAGCAAGGGAAAATTGAAGGATTCCAATGCCGCTAATTCCGATGACTCTTCAAAGAAAAGCGTCAAGTTTGCAGAGGAGCTAGATGTTTCACCAGCCCCCGATCAGCCAGTCACCTCCTCCTCAAAGGCCGAGATGAAAACTGCCCCCGTGGGAGACATCATTGAGAGAAAAGCTCCAGGGCCATCTTCTTTTGCTCCACCTGTTCAAAAGAAGGCTTCTCGTTTCAAGACATCTCGAGCTCCATTAAGCAATAGCACTAATGGCATTTCTTCTACCACTTCGATCACCACAAATCCTTCCCATCTCAAATTATTCCCTGCCACTCCAGCTACCCCTAAGCCCTTCTCTCAACCAATTCAATTTGCACCGGCCATCGAAAAGCCCCGAGAAGTTCCCACAGGTCCCGCAAACCGTACACTCGCGCCCAACATCATCGAACGAGATGTACCACATGACACCAACGCAGCCCCACCAGATGAATTTGATCCGCAATTATTACACCAAGAAGTTGCGACTGAATATCATCGAATGAGAAACAAGATCATCGGTAAACAAGGTGGATTTGGTCCGGAGGAAGAAGGTGAGATTGTACCATTTACGGAAGAAGAAGGGGGCCCAAAGAAAGTTAGTAGGTTCAAGGCAGCGAGACTGGCGAAATCTTGATGTTGGTAGGTGTTTTGTAGACTCGAGAATTCAAATCACGACAAATTTTTGGTGGCTAGTCATCAATACACATTTCTCTATTACTGTCAAATCTTGCTATATTTTCTTCAATCGAGCCTCTTTAGCGATCTCATTTCAGCCTGCTGCATTGAATGTTCAGCCAGTCAGATGAAGGTCCCAAGATCTCACACACTGCGGAGATTACTAGAATGCACTTGAAGCATACAGATCAATCGCGCTCTTATCAGTAAGTCATGGGTTTCCTCTCATAATTAGTCACTGGTGTACACTCATATCATACTTTTCTCAGCACAATGAGGCTAGCGTTACAAACATTGCTGCGAATAGTACGTATCTATATTTCTTTCGCGCATTCTTCTTCTTTCTCCCGCTTTTGAGGCATTTGATTGGAACGTACAAACATGACAATTGATGTACTATGCAGCTTCAATCTGCTAGCACATTACAAACGTTCCTAGATTGACTTTCTTGTGCAAGCAAGCAAGACTGGGCTCTCTGACGTCGCGATCTCTATTCCGTGGTTGCGGGGATTCGTTTCACCCTGGACATTCTTTTTTAATTCTTATGTTTCTCTGGTGGTATGGTTCTACACTGTATTATTCTTAAAAATAATCCGTAGAAAGGCTTTGAGTACTCAACATTTAAGATTTGTATGACTGGATATTCTTTGTGAGATTTCGTCTTCAGATACTTTTCTTTTTTTAATGTCTTTTTACATGGCCACTGTTTGCTGGCGTCTCTTCACATGGATTGTAACATTTCCCGAATTCAAAGGAGATTCATGACCGCGATTGATAGTGACAGAAACAGTAACCTCTGGACGTTTCAATTGCTATTCTCACCCAATACCGCTCTGGTAACATCCATAGCTCGGCCGACTAATTGAAGAAATATGGCTTCTATTAGTAACCGCTGCAAAACAGTAACCCCCGTTTTGTGTTCACTGGGGTCTTCAGCCTCAATTCAACGATTAGTAATAATTGGTCGATATCAATCGCTCAACAGACAAGCGACATTACTCAGGTTACTTCGCGCACTTGAACGCGGGCGTCGAGCCATTCTGAGAATCTTCGACAGCATGTGGATAATACACTGCGCAGGAGTTCCGCATCTTTATATGTCTTCCAAATCTATTTGCGAATTTGCGATGAATTATCATACTGTTAAGCAAAAGAAACATTGTCTGAAGATACACACATTCGCGAAATTTCATCTCGGGAGTCTCAGAAGTATGTCAGTATTGACTTATAGTTCCTTCTCTCACATTACATCAAGTCATCTATCGGGTATCTCATAGGCCCAGTCCGATAAATAATGCTTCATGTTGCTTCGAGCCAGCCATTATGCCCCTCTTTCTCTCAATATCTCCATCCGCGAGAGCAGCCCAGGAAGGAAAAGGGCTAGCAAGGACTTCCACAGTATAGTTTTCGCACCATTCTCCTGAAGTCCCGAAGAAGCCCGAAGATGTCAGCTAAATAAAATAGCTAGCGCTGAGTACCCAACACCAATTAAATTTCGAGTTTCGATTCAGCTCGGTAAAAATTTGACATGGGCGAAGTATTGTATTTCCTCTCTGGATACTTACCGTATTTTCAACCATCTTCTACCCAACTGCTTGCGAAGATCGAGAAATAATATTTAGTCTGTCCATACATAGTAGTGACACTCTGAAACCGCTTCGGCGGGTAGGGATCTATTCAACATAATCCAAGTATCTTTTATGTCCCAAACCGAGTTCTCAGCTCGAGGAGATAATTTCGACGAAATTTAACGTTCTGTCACGGCAAAGCTCACAAGCGATTACGCATTCACACTCTGCCTACCCACTTCACGGTACTACTTCAAGTTCGATCAAAAGAATCTGCACAATATTCAATAACTTGATTGTTCTAGGTGATCTGTTACGAAAGTGAATAGGGAATGATTTGGAGCGTCCTTCGCTAATCTAAATCGCGTACAATTTCGCATCTACTCAATTTGAATTCCAATAATCGACACTGGCTGCCACTCTCTCAAGAAATCCAAGTATAGGATAGAGCTCATTTATTCGTCTGTAAGTGATGTGTTGGCTTCAGTCATTCTACATTAATCAATACCCAAGCCCCCTTAATGAATTTCAATTTCAATCCTCGACACACCCCTCGCCTCCACCACTCTCGCCAAATCCCCACTCACCACAGCCCTCTCCCACCACCGTCTATACCCTATCGCGGATCTCGGCCAACGAGATTGTAAATATTGGTACTGTTGATCTTTTAACGGTTCATCCTCATCATATTCTCTCTCTGGCTTCGACCACGCTGCCGGCATGTCCACACCCGGACCATAAATATCTTCCATGACCACATCACCATCTTCATCATAATTAACACTTTGATAGCTCCAGCCCGAGCCTCTTCGTGCTGTGATGATTGTTGATATATCAGGAAATACTTTACTATCTAGATCTGGCGACATTGCTCCATCGAAAGATTGTTGTTCGAGCGATGAGCGATGTTGAAGGATTTCTGATGTGAGAGAATCGCTGTTCATTTCACCGTTGGCATAATCGTCCGGGACATTTTCACGAATAGTACCATCTCTCGACACACTTAAATTTGTGAAGTCTCTATGCTTTCCATCATCCAAACGCCAGATTTTGGCAATTCCATCAGTACTAAAAGCCCAAACTGTGATACCATTTGTTAAATCAATCGCAAGATCGACTACTCCAGAGCATATACCAATTCTCTGACCTTTTATTCTAATTGGCCACATATTTCCCGTAAGAATACCAGGTACTGGATGCCGAATGAGATTGAGCCATTCTTGAAGTCCCTCATCAGGCCACCAGTCCAGCCATAGCATGTTTTTAGAATTTTTAGGAATGTTTCGTTTGTGGCTTACAGAGCTCTCTAAAGCATTCTGAGAGCTCTGGGCTGCATGAAACACATCTCCGGGAACAGAAAACATCCAGATACTCTGTTCTGTCCAACTTCCAAATGCTGCCACGACTCTTACTCCCCAGCTTAGATCAGAGCCTCCAGCATAAACCGTTGGACTACCCCTACCTTCCGGTCCCTGAAACCAAAATTTTCGAAGTAATTTGGTAGGTCCTCCGACAGGGGCATCACTGCCTAAGCAAAGTGCTCCTGTACTTGGATCTGTAAATAAAATATGATATCCATCACTTAGTGGTATGGCGCGATAGTGATCTGAATGATCAACCCTTCGACCAGAATCACTACGGAATCTTCCCACTGGTGTTAGTACCTGCTGAGTGTGTTCTATTTCCTCGCTATTGTCCCCGTGGCTTCCGCTCCACCCAATTCTTTGCCAAAATGAAGCACCTCGTGGTCTTCTTCCATATGATCTTTCGTGTACAGCTGTACACTCACTGGGTCTAGCCGCACCTATAAATTGATTAGCGGGTCTTGCGCGAAAGTCGCTATCCAAATTAAAATTTATGTCCAATGTTTACGCTTAAGTTACATTGCTGTCTCCTATGGGGTACACAAGGTGACGATAACTTACTGCTAATAAGTCTCAGCTTCTTCGCCGAGTCTACACTTTTACGTGGAGGCAAAAAGAACAAAAAATCACTTGGAGCGGTAAGTGGAAACCATCTATTTAGATCCTGCCCAGTCAAAGCATCAACCCAATGCAACTCGATACCAGCCGAGCATCCAAAAGCCACACATCTTCGTTGAGGACAAATTGCCACAGAACGAGGAGGGTCATCCTCAGAACAAAGATTTCGATATATTGAACGTGGGCCGGTTTCGACTGGCATTTCTCTTGCATCTGAGTTCAAAACTCTATGAGCTGGTAGCTTGCTTCGCAATCGACTTCCTGCTCCAACAGAGTGGAGGCTAGCTTCCTCAGGAGGGTATGAATTCTTCGTGGCACTGGCTGATCGAAGCGCTTCATGGTATTCTGGTCGTTGTATAACCCCTGGAGAAGTACCATCACTACGAGTTGTAGCTATTCCGGGGAAAACGAAAGCGGTTGTAGATCTTCCAGCCCTTTGCACAGGAGCCGAACTATCCAAGCTAACGCGATCGAGAAATGAGACACCATGGTGAAAATCGTTTGCTGGAGAGAGGGAAAGATTTGACCGACTTGAATGAGGCGAGGAAAGATCCGAGGTCTCAGGATCCGAAGAAACAGGGGGAGCAATATTGCTAAGAGAAATATCACACACAAGACCCATGCGCCCATCAAGCAAAATAGCAATTGCATATCTATGTGAAGAAGTATCCATACTGCATGCTAATACTCTGTGTGGACATATGATACTGGTGACTGGACGCAAAGAGCCAGCTTGAACCTCATACCAATCATCCACATCGCGATGGCTTTTGTTTAGTTCGTATACATAGACTAGACACCCATTCGCAGCCATCAAAAACTTCCCACAACTACTCACCGTGAAAATGGTTCCAGCAGGAGTTGTTTCCTTGTATTGAACAGCGACTTCTGTGAAATCCACAGTCGAAGCTTGCAAAAAAGGTGAATCCTTTGATTCTAGTGGAAAGTGGTCCGGGCTTACCGGTACTTTAGACCCCGTCCAATCTGGACCAAGAGCACATTCTCTCGAGATTCGTTTGCTCATGAACCATTCATATTCGGAGCTACGTCGAAAGGTCGAGCTTTTTGTATCGGAGATTTCCTGTTGACAACTAGTCACCCAACCTCCACGCCGGATCATGTTTTCAAGAAGGGAACGATCTATACTAGTAAGAAGCCATGCTCGGCATGTATGTCTGGCTGAATTAAAATCAACCGGTGTGAGGTAATTGTATACTTGTTGAATGATTTCTGTTGGTAATTTCGAGAACGTGAATGATGTTGATTGACGAGCAGATTCTTCCAATCGAACAACACTGGGTAGACGATTGGAACGTGATTCAACCGGTAAAGTTGGTTCGGGAGAAACAGGAGAGGAATTGCTGTAAACTTTTCTAACTGTCCGTGTGAGTGGTTCGATTGGAGATATAGTGGAGCTTATAGAACTTCCTCCAGAAGTCCTAGATCGAAGTCGACTCTTTATCTCTTTCGCCTCAAGGGAGCCATTCAGACTGCTTGGAGATGTATGTCCGCTAAGTACCTCCGAAAAGCTATCTTGCTGAGATATCCCTCTTAATGGTTCTAATACCTGGTCATCTAATATTGCAGCAGGATCATCCGGGTTATCATGAAGAGTATGACTTCGATCACGCCTTCGTATGGGCCGGCCATCCACCTCGATGGTTGTTTTGTTTCTTCTAAGTCGTGATTCAGCCTTTTCAAGAGGATTGCAATATCTCGGGCTTCGTTCTAATGTTCTTCCACGTTCAGCTCCTTTTCCTTTATCACGTTTCTCCTGGTTTTTTGGGACAACGTCGAGTTGTGAAAGCTCCCACGGGTTGTACGGAAACTGAGGATCGACAACTGTATCATTAACTGAAGTTATCTACAGGTATATGAGTTAGTGTCCAAGTTTTATCACTCTCATCGAAAGATCCCAAAGCATACGCATTGATGATATACAGGCATGATTGCTTTAGACGGGTCTCCTTACTAAATTTGATAAGCTATGGGACACGGAGGCTTCATTCACTCCTAAAGCCGATGAGCGCCGCCTGCCCAGGGAATCTAAATAGATGTAAATATTAGATCATTAATCCTCCTCTAATAGCAACCAGTCACAATCGAGTCAGGTACTACGAACCAACACATTGCTCCAATACCCCACCATCCAATCGTACATCTTTCGATGTGCTGGATGCGTCTCCAACGGTCATGATATGTCTTGTCGGGGATTCGTAAAGAGATGTGACAGCAATCGAAGAGTATGTTTTCCCAACAGCTTGCGGACAAGATGTTGAAGTGTGATCGGCAATCGCTCTTGATAAGAGAATCTGGGAAGACGTTGTGTCGACAGCCCCCGGCTGGGTGGCTACGTTATTAATAATAGTTGAATGATAGGAAATAATTGGCACTACTAGGAGATTGTCCTTATGTTATGCTTTTTAGGATCTTCACTAATGAATGTTGAAAAGTAGAAGGTCGATTTTTAGGTGCAGAATTTTGTGTCATCTCTCTGAAAAGACGATGTTGAACAGTAAGGATAAGTCACAGTCTTTATGGCGGAAAAGGTTAGGAAAAGATAGAATTTCCACAAGTTCAAGCTTGTTGCAATGAGAGATAACCTTTTAGGAAAGAACACTGGGTATATATAATTCAAACAATATCAAATCATGAAATGAAGGCCCGACCCACCCCTGAATAACACGACCGAAAACGCCATTCATGCCATTAACTTCAGGACCATAACTAACTAACCACTGCCTCATGCTGACAATAAGATATACGCTTGATTTACAATTACATCATACATTTTCATCGCCAACTTCTCTCCAAATGTGAGTATCGCCAAGACTCAGCGAACTTGCGGCAGATTCTTCACGATTTAACTGTGGAGTGCTACCATTCGGCTCGCTATCTGGGTCGTTGTTTATCCAGATCTTTTCTAATCTATGTAAGGTCAGTATAGAACAGTAAGTTTGCTTGGGAACAACATACGGTACAACGAGACTTGGGTTTATATATCTCATCCCTTTTTCCCTTGCTTCATCAACTGTGCTACCTCTCCTCCGAATGTGTCCTGGAGGTCTGTCGATGCCAATATTTTCGCCAGCAATATTTATGTCTGGATCGCTATCTCTTCTTATACTTCTCAGAGCGATGAACTTAATGAATGGCTGGAATGTTCGACGGAAATAGTAGCTGTACCAGATTGTAAATGGTATGAGAGGAACAACAAGTATAGCTGGAGTGAATGCTTTCCTCAGAGCAATAACTCCGGCCATGGTCAGTTGGAAGAAGCCTAAGCCGACAAGAAGACGATAGACTATCATAGGCCAAGCTCCTCCAGTAGCATGTTGTGGATGGTCCATGGCATATAGAAGCTGATACTTGTATGTGTAATAACCTAGAGCAAAGTACGCCATTCCAAATAATAGGACTAGATATCCTGCTGGCTGTATACTATAGACCATGCATAGAATGTAGATAAGAAGTGCTGAAGGAAGATAAAACCCGTAACTAAAAATAGGTGGCTGTACCAGCTCAGCATAATCTCTAGGAGTCTTGGCACCCATAAGTGTGATAGGGTACAAAGACACACTCCCGAATTCCAGCAGCCTGAAAGGTAGAAGACCGAGAGCTTGTAGCAAAATAAAGTTGGTATAAAACATGGAGAGATCAGAGATTGACTGGGCTAGTGTATATGCAATCTTCGTTGTGTCTTTCAATGTTTCCTGTAATACTGGCCAGAACTTACTCGCTGCGCCAAAAACGGTAAAAACCAGGAATACATTGAAAAATGTGAAGTAGAAGTTTTTGGATATGACGGAAAGCTCTACTTCGCCTTGTGAGATTGATCCTTGCCTGTTTGCAAGGTAATCATACAAAAATGGAATTGCCAAATTGAGTAATGAGACAACAAGTGTAGGCAAGCCAGTCTGGACCAAAGCCTTGAGTATATCGTGGCTTTCCAAAACATCCGCAAGACCCGGCCAAACCTGTCGAATCGAGCATAAACTGACAAGACCAGCTAGGGCAGCCACTGGAATAAGCCAAAAGATGGTAAGTATAAGAATGAAGATAGTGATTGTCCAAGAACGAATCATACGATTTGATCTAGGTAGATAAGTATTCGTCCAAACTATATCTGATGGTGCAGGAGCTGGCCTTGCCATCAGCTGCATTGGCGTTGGGTCTAGGAGGGCTTGCACCGCCATTTGACAAGCGGGAATCGAGTCCATGGTGACAAATGCAAGTGCTGTAGGGCTGTATTCCTTTTTCCTTGCATCATTGATCATATCATCTAGCCTTCGTAGCTGTTCTTCGTAGTGGTCGATTGTATCTACTTTCCTGCTCTGAAAATTAAAAAAGCCGTACCAGATTCGCGTAGCCGGTCTCGGTTGATCGTGTGAGGTAATGTGATCGCTTCCTAAAAGATTATCACCCTCGTGACTTTGCGATCCATCCTCAGCATTCGCATCAGATGCCGAATGTTGTCTCCGTATTGGCCCTACACTCGGACGTTGTTGTTGACCAAGATGTACAGTCCATGCCTCTTCAAGCCTCCTTACGACTTGCACTCTCTTGTCCATCATGTCATCAAGTTTTTTCCAGTTACGACATAAAGTCACACTCTCCACTTTCCCTATCTGAAGTTTCTCCAAAAATTCTGTGATCTTTTCTTCAGACCTCAAATCCTCCGGTATACCAGAAAGTTTGATTGTTCGGTCGGTAATTGTGGATTGGCTTCCCAGGTAGTCCTGGCGAACCCTGATTACGCGGTGGGTTTGTCTATTCATGAAAAATATTGCGAGTCCAGTGAAAACGTAGGTGAAGACAAGGTATGACCAGAGATAGTTGGTATCAGGTAGTTTATCGTCAGAATCTTTTGGTACTTCTAAAGTCGAAGCCCCGTCCCATCCGCCATGCCAACCGTCCAACTTTGAGTAATCTGGAATATCGGGAGGACTCGTTGTATTTCCAAATGGATCGAATACGTAATAGTAGTGTTGATTTATTGGGGCAAGAATGGCAGCTGCCATGATAAACATGACCCCGAACAGTTTCATTGACATCTTGAAAAATGATAGGAACTAATTGAAGTTAGTGATGTTCATTCTATTGGTGAAGTAGGTCGTCAAGACATACCACATATGCATCTAATCCAGCAGATGCAAGTACTTGTTCTTCTGTGACTCTATACAAAATAGGCATCCAACCAAAAAAGGTATCCGGAAGCTCTGGCAGATTCGCAGCAGCATCAACATGTCTTTTGCGCGCAGCATATAAACTCTTCCATTTTGGTCGCAGAATCTACAAATATCAGCAAAGTTCCATTGATTAGGCATACTCTGGTCGTTACTTACACAGAATCCAAAGAAAGCAGACACACCGAGAGTTAGTGAAAGGACCAGTTGAACATATATCGCAGTCTGTTGTCCTTCAACATGTGTAGGGTCGTATGTTGGACAATCCTTTTCCGGTGCTCTGAGAGCATCCATAGTGGAAGCCATGATAATTTTTGGTAGACTGTTTGAATTATTGAAAGAATAACATTACCAACAAGGTAAACAATTAATTTAGCTGAAGGAATCCATCTTTTGTTATGGCGGTGATGGATTGCCAAGCTATGACGCTTAATCGTTATGTAAGCGGGTTAGCCAGGAACATTAGGTACGTCCAGCCACCGGCGAACATGGGTGACCTCGGGATGTTGAAGCACCGCCACATCACCATCAAACTTCACTTTGAAAGACACTACATCACTTCGAAGCCCTCTCTGCTGCAAAGCGATTGATATAGGAGATTGGGTTGAATTCAACTTACTATTTGCTGGTATCAAGCATGATCACATCTTTCCTCCTCATTCTGTTGATTGGGGTCTTGTCAAACAAGATTTGCTACGGATTCATTCTCACTCCTGTGGACGAATCTCCCTAAAGAGATTTGAAAGATCTTCTGGAGCGGAGCGAAACAGTCTCCACGGCAGTAGCATCGCGGAGCTTCAGATTAGTGTTTTTTGTTTCAAATGTTTCTTCTTCACACATTTCACATAGGAGATGATGATCATGTGAAGAGGCCTCGATATTTTGGATTGATTACGATTTGTTCTTTCTATCATCTACTATGCACAGAGTGATGCTTGAGATACTCATCTATGCGTCTGAGTTACCATGTCAGACGGTCATGGCAATGGGACAGGAGCTTGATTCAACAAAGTTTCAAGAGGTATTGAGGCTTATCCTATGCTTCATATCAGACATGAGCAAGATTTTATTCAATTCTTGTGCTGGAGATAAGTTCATGCATTGAAGTGATATGATCTCGCCGTACCCACAACGTAATGGTTGCATGATCAAATTCTGTGTGAGCGTCGGAAGGTTCTACTCTCACCTAGTAAATAGTAGGTAGTCGTGCGGTATTTTTGAGTATGGATCTTTTGATGTTCACACAGAACTTATTGCCTTGTACACATTATAGATACATGGTCAATATTTGAGGCAGAAAATTCCAAAACTGGATTATAATAACTACGGATTTCAAGTCTTGAATATAGCTATCAAGGGCTCCAGGCCTCCTGTTATCCAGCAGTAATTTGAGAATTCAAGCTTACCTAAGTCAAAAGTTCAACTGCTCCAGTGCTCCTTCCATTTGTGTTCCTTCCTTCCTCTATCCTACTCTCCCTAGTGTACTTTTATCTCCATATGCATTTCATCTTTCACCTTCTGCCTACAATTTCGATGATTCCAGATCCATCTCCATACATTTCAACCATTCTCATTCTTCTCTATACATCCATCTCCACGACATCGACTCTCCTCACATCCTTCAGTTCAATTCATTATATATAAAATAGAATTGAAAATAATACTGAAGGCTCATTATGGAGATTGTTCCGGCTCAGCCAATTCCTGCAAAACCGACTGTTATCTTCGAGGCAAGACTTCGATCATTCGTTGAGGATGATTTAGGTTGCAATGATTTGAAAGCTGTATGGAGATGAGACAATCCCAATTTTCGTTCCAAAGATCTGACTAATCCTCTATACACTAGACTCACAAGGTTCTTTCTGAGTTTATTCAGAAGCCAGAAGTTGAAGACATTATTTGCAGCATTGACGTTGACATATTGCCTCTTCTTGCACGTAGGTCTCCTGGCATCAATTATCTTTCTTCGTTGGAATCAATACTTATCAAGAATCAACAGAACGTAGTACTGAGTGGGGGGTCAAAGGTATAGCTTTACATATGGAGTCTTTAGTCCCAGTTGAAATCGTCGCCGTTGAAAATCAAGAAAAGCCTACTCATCTCACACTTCGAGATGTATCAAGCCGTTTCTGTGTCTACAGGATGCATGGTACTCCGCCACCGCCACCGTTGACACGTTCATCTGAAGACCCCGATGGCGTGGATTCAGATGTTGAATACGATGAGGATCCAGAGATACCATCGGCTGAAGTTTTTGACATGCCTCATCATGATTTTGATGGATGTTGGGAGGAGTAAGTTTCAAAATGATTGTCATCAAATGCTCTTTTAACTAACGCTTCGCACAGGCTCATCTTTGATCAAAATCATAAGGAAGATCTGTCTTGGATGATATCGAATATGCGTAGGGACAGCTTTCCAGTGGCGTTGAATTTGTTTGTTAGCTAATTGGCTGTTAACAGTGTTGCTTTCTGCAATCGCAGTACCTGCAAAGAAAAAAATGAGTCCAATGGCTCTTTTTCATGGTGCGTCTACGCAATCCTCTATCCCTAATAATCAGAATTAAGTCTAATTTTTATGGGGTTACCAATGACCATCATTGCTATTAATGCAATGGTGGCTAGGTAGCCCCCCCACTCAACCTAGGTCCTCCAGGAACGGGAAAGACAACACTATGCCAAGCAATTGCACAACGATTAGCCATTCGGTTGGTCGAACAATTCCCACATACGAAACTCATCCAAGTCAAGACAGCGACGCTTTTATCGAAATACTATAGTGAAAGCGCCAGCCAAGTCGATGATTTGCTTACCAAGATCAAGATAATGTGCCAAGTCAATCCAAAACGCATCATCATTGTGTTGATTGATGAGGTTGAATCTATTGCCGTATCAAGACACTCGGGTGTTATGCATGGAGAAGCTCAGGATTCACTACGAGCCACCAATGCTCTACTCACTGGTTTTGACAGGGTCAGAGCTTGTCCAAATGTTGTTTTCATGTCGACTTCAAACATGATTGATTGCCTAGATGAAGCATTTGTCGATAGATGCGCTATTCAGATTCCATTTCAACCACCTTCTGAGGAATCTCAATACAAAATCTTAAAGGCAAGTGTGTTAGAGCTTGTGAGAAGACAGATTATCATAGCCGATGTTTCTAGACTCATAGATCACACACAGTTGATACAATCCTGGCAGGAGGCTACTCTCTACTCCGTCTTCCAGAATGAAACTCCTACAGGAAAGCTGCTCTACATCATCATTCAGTTGAACTCTCCGGCTGCTAAGGGAAAACTTGGTATATCTGGTCGATTCCTAACACAGATTCCTGAACAGGCTTTGATGAGATGCGCCAGGCCAAACAAGATCTTGCATCTGGCTGTCGCTTTGGATTGCATTAAAAAGTTCGTGGAAGATTTGTTGAGTTCACGGGTCCAGAAACGAAGACCTTCGGAACTTGAAGCACAACCAGATACAAAACACCACTGCTGCTGTCATGCCAAAAAGGATGGATGATCTTACACTGATGAGATGGATTTCAAGGATTTGAGATATCAATCGAGGCTGATTGATACTTGAAACGCGAAGCAAATATGCATAATTGTGGAGTATTTTGCATTGTGTACTCATGGGGAAAAATTCTAGGCGAAAAGCTTCTTCAACCACTCATCATTTAGAATTGCGTTTGTTGCTGTGTCATCAAATGGCCGAAATTGTAGAATCAAACAATTTGCTGTATTTCAATGGACCTGATTGTTACACTACTGGATGATTATGCTTTCACGTTGACTAAGTCCATGTGAATAGAAAATGACAATAAAGTACTTGAGTCTGCATGCCTTAAAATTCTGATTTAGTAAGCTTGATACTTCATTTGAGTCTCGAGTCTTGAGTCCTAAAATCTGAATGAAATGTGACGAAAATGATGTGATGAAGAATGGAGTGACAAAAAGTTGGTGCGCAATTTTGCACAATGTTGAACGAATGTTGGTGTAGTTTGTTCTTTGCCATGATATTAGTATAGACAGCTGTAAACCTCTATGGGATATCATGTAGAGATATCGTACCTACTAGGTATCTATATTAAGTACTGGGTACCAAGCAATATATATGTAAGATCCAGCTATGACTCCTGAGATGAATACATATACAATCCCAAATTCCAAATCGTTCTTACTGTCACTTTAGATTTTGGGGAATTTAGAGTTAGAGACTTAGAATTGTTTGTGGTAAATGGTACGATGGTAGTTGTCTAGAGGGTCGGAAGATACTTCGGGGGTTGGACTGGCTCTTGTGTGGGAGTTTGTGTGGGATTTTGATATATATTATTTAGGGCTCTGGGTGTGGGTGTGGGTGTGGGTGAGGGGGAGGGGGAGGATGGAGAGGGATGGGAATGGGGATGTGGAGGGTGAGGGTGAGGGTGAGGGTGAGGGGATAGAAGATACCTTTACGAGGGAGGAAGTGGGTATGTGGGGTCTTTTCTAGGTAGGTAGGTAGGTGGGGAGGGAGAGAAGGAATTCCCATTCCCATTCCCATTCCCATTCGCGAAGAGAGGGGTGAGGGGTGAGGGATGAGGGGTGAGGGGTTAAGATGTAGTGTAGTGTAGTGTAGATATTTGGGTAAGTAATATGTAGGTAATATACGAAAGAGAAATGGTTGATTTACAGAGGGTTTGAATCTAGCTGCTTAGCTTTGAGGTATGGTAGGGTATTCTGGAGAGAGGGAAGGCAGGAAAGATTGTGTGGTTGTGATTGGATGTATATGTATATATTTATGCATGGAGAATGGGGATGGGGAGCGGCGGATATGTGTATTAATACCTACCATCCGGCGTTTGGGGGGATTTTCAATTCTTCCGAGAAATGCGAGAAGGTGGTGATGATGTTCTGTATGTGTGTGTTCACTTGAGATGAGAAGATCGGGGCTTTTATTGGATGTTTATTGTAGACTGCTGCTGATGCTGCTGCTGATTAAAAGACTGGTTGTGAGTGTTAGGTAGAGAGTAAGTCACTGATTGAATCGCAGTCCGGGCTCCAAAATATATACAAGTGATAGTCATGGAGAGCGAGGAAGAAGGGAGAAGTGAATATGGAACGCTTTTCATAATGATGAAGCGAGTCGATAATTACCTAGCTAAGGAGACCTGGTTTGAGGATAGATTTTGCGCGATTGTTTCAAAGGCTTTGAAAAATTCCAATCTTACAAAGACTCATTTTCGATCAAGTATTTAGATTGTAGGATTTTTATCAAAATTAATCGATCTTTGAATGAGTCGTGATTCTTCTCTTTTTGAAGCGTCCCACAAACCCGTGCACCAGCTGTTGGAGTCTAGATCTGTGAAAGAATTTAGATAGAATTTGGTTCGGAGATGGAAAATTGCTGTACGAATATGTGAATGGAAATGATGGGAAATTGAATTCCGTAAACTTGATGGGCTATTGACAGAGTGTGTAATACTGAGCTGGACACTAATCCCCTTGTTGTCCCTTGAGAACGGAAGAACTTCAAGTATCAATACAGCCTGTTGTCGGCAAAATGAGCAAGTCGATGGTGGTGAGTTGAAAAACGGTGACCTTATCGTCACCATCATTTAAACACCAAGAAGTCATACAAAGTTGAACTCTTGCGGACCAACCAGCGAAAGGCGCTGGTGGTTTGACTCAGAAGATTGGTAGATAAGGATTGATGAGCTCATCACTATAACCGTCATCTTCTTCACTACATGCGCAAATAACCGTCCTCCATTACTAAATAAGGCTGTCGAATACAATAAGAACATAGAGTTGTACGACGAGACTTCTCAGATGTAGAACGCAAGCTCCAATTTCCTTCCTTTCTTGTCTCATCGGGCCATCCTAGTGGGAGCCAGTGAAACCGGCTGGACTGCGAGACAATTCTTTTTCGGCATCGATGATGTCCATTCGATGAGTGCTGTGATTGACGATTCACAATGAGTTCTGTTGTTGGAAGGTTACTCTCACATCCACATGTCCGAAGAAAAAATATCCCAATCATTTCGAGATCCTGTGGTCCGAACTTGGCCAAGTTGTGTAACCGGCAGGCCTCGACGGGTACGAAATACGACATTAAAACCTGGAAAACTTCCGGGAGAATGGTTTCCATTTCATGTGTCTGTATGGTTTGTTTCCTTAAAATCTGAAATTGATGTGTATTGAGGTATTCGCCATTAGGCAGCAAATGTGGTATTTCCTACAAATACCGGTATATAGATTGATAAGGATAAATGATATATCGCGTTACATTGCGTTTGCATCACGGCATAGAAGGAATCTATTCTTGTTCCTCGTTTCTTTGAAGCCATCTCGAGAAAGTTCTACTCGTTTGGGTCTTGACTCATCGTGTAACCACAGAAGCTCCAAACCTTGAAACATATCAAGATGAAGATGGTGGTTCGTGATTAGGAGGCGGATCAATTCGTAACGAGGATGATTGGCGATGATAACAAACATCAGGAAGAGGTTGCAAGCGGCCCGGTTCGTACGGTGCGAATTCTGAGATGTGATAGGATTTTGTGCCCAACGCTCATTAATGGATGTAGATGACCTTATTTTTGATCTGGATATCAAATTTTCCCCATGTCCCAAACGAGGTAGTAGACATTGCAGATCATGCAATCTATCGGAGCTTTTCACCGCATCAGCCAGGAAACGAATTTAGTCGGGAAAAGTCGGTTCAGAAAGTTGTGCATCTACAGAGAAGGGAGCGCGGTAGATGTTTGATATGGAAGGGATTATTCCATATTAAGCCATGTTTGTAATATCCATTCCAAGTTTTGTGTGTGGTTGAGCGTTAAAAAGAATCAAGAGGAGCATACGACGCACGCGTTTGCATGGAGATTGGTGAGTGGTCCAGTGAAATTTGGCGTCCGTTTGATATCTTACTACTTTCTACCTAGTCTCTAGTATTTACCTGAAGAAGAGTACTAGGTAGTATTATAAAGTAGGTAGGTAACCTTAGTTACTCTGTCGTCTTCCAAAAAGCGGAGCGAGTGAGCGAAGTACCTACACTCGTGCAGAAAGACAGCCCACCAGTAATTAACTTTTCAGGGATTTAATGATCAAGCTGTGGCTGATGAGATCGTTTTTTGACACACATTCTATGAGTTCTAGCCCTTTCAAGTCTTGACTAGAGCGCCAAGTTTCCTTTTTGGAGGTGGAGCTTCTCTGCCTTGGAAATAGATATAACATGAATTTGGAAGTCAAGGAAGGAAACAGGTGAATGGATTAATAAATGATACATGATAAATAAATAACTAAGTACTCGTAAACAAACAAACAAACAAACACACAGATAAATGGATAAATGGATAAATGGATCAATAGAATAAAGCATTGAATATATCTGAGAATTGCATTTTATATGTCACAATAAATAAGAATGCAAACCGCGAAACATTACCAACTACATACAACAAAGAGTGTGATAGTTCTGGTGCCAATGCTAGTCAGTCACACCTAGGTATGGAGGTCTGTACTGACAGATGTCTTTGAGTTTGTGGAAACCAATTCAATACGAGTCCGAAACATTGGTTGGTCGAGAGGAATTGTTGAGTAGGTGTAGGTAAGAATAGTTAGCTACAGAGGTCCTGAGCACATCACCACCATCAAAGGCTTTCTTGTGATCAAGTTGACGGTGGTTTTGATTGGTTGAAATAGAGTTCTTGATATAGACTTGGTAGAGGCACAGAGTCGCGAGGTACTTTGGCCACTTACCGTACATAGGTACACATTAACCTTACACGCTTGATGCCAAAGCTAGCTAGATGGCGCGTTCGTCCTAGTCGTGAGGGGTCTTGACTGTTGGGGAACGATGTTTCCACGTATATACTAAGGGACTAACCTTATATCCAAGATGATCTTCCGGGCTGGGCTATAATTAACGATAAATGGCTCAAGTATACGGGTATCTAGGGAAGATATCTTGGTATACAAAATATCGCTTGACGAGAATTGGTATGGAACAATGAACAGAGAGACAGTGAGCGTTTGCTCTGAAAGAGGATATTATAATCTATCTTAAACATTTGATAGAGAACAATTGCGGCGGGATGTGGATTCACATTGCATACTTGCATCTCTAATCCATGTCATGATTGTCATGATTGTCATGTTATATTCATTTTCTCGTGCCTGACGTAAACTCAATGGATAAATTGCTCCGGCTATGAGATAATGGTTTTTATGAAGAAACGGAATTCTCTAGAAAGTACCATGTCAGAAACTTTTTAGCTTTGATGTATAAAAAAGAAAAGAAGGAAAGAAATAATTGGAAAAAATCGAAAAAACTCAGATCATATTGAACGAATACCACCAGGACTGATAGATAGATATATCTACCGACCTCCTTCTACTTTCCTACCTCTCTCTCTCTCTCTCTCTCTCTCTCTCTCTCTCTCTCTCTCTCTTTACCATACGAGCCAAAGTATCGACTGGTACCACGAAGAAGTATACCTACCTAGTACTTCACTTCATACCTTACCTCATCCTGCTAGCATTGCATCTCTCCCACATTTCCCCAACCCAAAATAAGTCATAAATCATTCGACTAGTTGAATCCAACTTCCAAACTTCCAACTTGTAAGTTGAAACAAAGCATGCGTGCTTCCTCTGCTCTGTTACTGGTCCGGCAATACCCTTGTGTCCCTTGGAACTTTCCCTTCCTTTACACCTTTCACCACACCACGTATCGGCCTCCAGAAATATTTTACTAACTACCTTCTCATTACTCGTGGAACAGACCAGACCAAACTTCAAATACAGCTCAGCCCCTTCAAAACAAACACAATCCCTCGTTTTCTCTATCGGCAATCATATCTATCGATCTATTTGTTGCATTACTTCTTGCTCTGCTTTACACATCTACCGCCATTCCTGATTTCACTGATTCGATTTCACACAACTGCCCCACCATCTATCTATCTACCTATCTATCGATCGATTTATTCACTGCCCCTCCTTCGAACTTGCTCTCCTCGAATAAAGAAAGTTCCTGTTAAGCTATAAAGCTACACAACACAACCCAGCATACAATCACAAAGCTCATGATTGCGCGATTACCAATTTACAAAACAAATTACATTGAATTTCATTCTCCTTCTTCGTTCTTGAGGATCTCTCCACAAATTTCATCATGACCGTCTTTGTGGTCTCCCTGTAAGTGTTTCCCTCCCAAAATCATTTCGGTGCTAGACGTATGTCTATTGTCTCTCTGGAACATCACAGTTGAAATCCAACACTGTTTTGTACTACAATACATGCCTCCAGAGATCCGCAAGTTATGCCATTTAACTTGGCAGGCTTCTGGCTTTGAAGTTACAGAGATTGGAGACATTTGTCTGGCTGCCATTCCATCTAGCTTTTTTTTTTGGACAAAAACTAACATGAGTATTTCTATTATAGTTTTCTCCCAAACACAATTAACTTCAAACTTCCTTCCAATAATTCTCGTCCCCCTACCAGATCCAAGCTTCACCCAGATTCCCAATCAGACGCTTCCCGCTCTGGACGTCCAGGTGCTGCCAGAAGAACTACTACCAGAATCGATACTGGCAAACCAAGTCTTTTCGGCCACCAAAGAGATATCACTCCCCCAGCAACACCAATACACGATGTTGATCATGAACAATTCTTCGCTCAAACCGACCCTTTAAATCTAAAAGCCTCCCTTCCCATACAAGAGAACCAACATTCCATAATCGCGCCCAGCGATCCCCATTCACCAGCATGGGGTGCAGGAAAGATGTTCAACCAACCACGCTCCCGAGCCAGTTCTCCTCCTCCCGCAGATATTCTCAAACATAATAAAATGAAGGAGAAGGCAGAGCTTCTTGGAAGCGCTGGAGTTCGTCAACCACAATACAAAAGAAGTGACAGTCATGATAGGGTTTTTGCAAATGCCGAATGGGAAGTTGAGCCAGCGGAGCAAGGTAATGGGGGTTTAAGAAATGCCGTGCAAGCTGCAGTCAGAAGCGGAAACCTTGAGGATAAGATTTGGGTCGGTACACTAGGAATGCCAACGGATGCTCTCGAACGTCAACAAAAGCAGGACATTGACGATCGTATGGCTACGGAGTACGATTCTTTGACGGTTTTCTGCAAAGATAGCGATTTCGATGGTCATTATACGCACTATTGCAAGCAGATTTTATGGCCCGTCTTCCACTACCAGATTCCCGACAATCCCAAAAGCAAGGCTTACGAGGATCATTCTTGGGTTTATTATGTCAAAGTGAATCAAGCTTTCGCAGACAAGATCGTCAAGTCATGGAAGAGAGGTGATGTTATCTGGATCCATGACTACCATCTTCTACTGGTACCTTCAATGATCCGTAAAAAGCTTCCAGACGCTAAGATCGGGTTCTTCCTTCACGTTGCATTTCCATCTTCAGAAGTATTTCGATGCTTGGCGGTTCGCAAGGAACTACTTGAAGGTATGTTAGGAGCAAATCTTATTGGGTTCCAGATTCAAGAGTATGCACGCCATTTCTTGCAAACCTGCAGTCGTATCTTGATGGTCGAAGCCACAAACGATGGTATTCAACTCGAGGATCGATTTATCGATGTTATTAATCTCGCAATTGGAATTGATCCCGTTGCTCTGGATATGAACCGCCTGGACCCTAAAGCTACCCATTGGTTGAACACGATGCAAGAGAGATACCGTGGTAAGAAACTCATTGTTGCACGAGATAAGTTGGATCATGTACGAGGTGTACGACCTAAGCTCTTGGTATGTTTTCTGTCTCCTTTATCAAATCCTCGGTGGAATTACTCGATGATACAGAATTCTTGATGAAACTCTCCGTGAACAACTACTAATATTTCTCTCCTCACAGGCGTATGAGCTGTTCCTAAACAAATACCCTGAATGGCGAGACAAAGTTGTTCTTATCCAGGTAGCAACCTCTACCACAGAGAATGCCGAACTCGACGCGACTGTTTCAGATATTGTTACTCGAATCAACTCTTCATGGGCAAATCTCGCTTATCAACCAGTCGTTTACCTGAAGCAAGATATCATCTATCCACAATACCTAGCTTTACTCACAGTCGCTGATGCCTTGATGATTGCAAGTCAGCGTGAAGGAATGAATTTGACATGTCATGAGTATCTGTTTTGTCAAGATGGCAAGTTCGAAGGTCACAACAAGCATGGATCTCTTATCCTTAGTGAATTCACTGGTAGTTCTTCTATCTTCGGTGGTAATGAGCTATCTGTTAATCCTTGGGATTATCGCCAATGCGCCGATGCAATCAAACAAGCTCTTGAAATGGAGGATGAAGAGAAAGAAGAACGATTCACAAAACTTCATGCAGCTGTCATGCACCACACAGGAGAACATTGGTTTAACGAATTCCTTCATCGCCTCGACAAGGTCTATGATGAGCAGCACAAGAGGGAAACCACATCTGTTCCTCGTCTCTCGATCAACATACTTGGCCAAAAGTATCAGAAGTCGGAGCGTAGGCTCTTCATTATTGATTATGAAGGAACTTTGGCATCATGGGGCTCACCGAGCAGTATTATTTTAACAAGCCCGCAAGTAAGTGGTTTTGAAGTACTTGATCTCGGGTAAATGCTGACAGTACATAGCGCACAATTGATACTCTTAATGATATTCTACAAGACGAAAGAAATACAGTCTATGTAATGTCTAGCAGACAACCAGAGGAGCTTGACCGTTTATTCAAACGAGTTCCACGTCTTGGCCTCATTGCTGAAAATGGCTGTTTCCTTAGACAATTTGGAACTTCGGAATGGACCGAGATGGCCGACCCCGAAAAAATGCGCGCATGGAAAGATTCGGTTGAAGGTATCATGGCTTATTATACCGAGCGAACCCCAGGATCTTGGATTGAGACAAGACACTGTAGTTTGATCTTCCATTACAAGAATGCTGAAGACTTCGAAACTGCAACTCGACAAGCAGGTGATTGTGCAAGCCACATTAATGATGCATGTGTTGAGCAAAGAGTTAGAGCTCTTCCTCTTGAAGGTACGGATTCCTAGCTTTTTACATTACAAAAAACCTACTAACTTCTATTATAGGAGCTGTTGCAGTAGAACCAATTGACTGGTCAAAGGGTACAGCTGCCATGAAGATATTCGAAGGCCTTGCCAAAGACATGTCACCTAACGCTGAACACACTTCTCCTGTCGATTTCTTACTAGTGATAGGTGATGGTAGAGATGATGAGGTTATCTTCAGATGGGCCAATGATTTGGGCAGAGCTAAGAAGGTTGATAATGTTACAACTGTTAGTCTGGGGAGTAGAAATACTGAAGCTGGGTATACACTTACCCAGGGTGTTACTGGTATGTCTCTACTTATCACAATTGTGTGATTGGTCGATTGCTAATGTTTCAATAGGTGTCTTGACAGCTTTACAAAAGCTAGCTCAATTATCTTAGAATGTTTTTATTGATGGGTTGCATTTCTTTACAAGAAGAAATGATTGAAATGGGATAGTTTTCGGGAATAACACACTGAGACGATGATATAGATGATTTTATGAATGGTTCTAATATGGCGGCATAGCGAGGGCGTTCTTTCGTTGTTATCTTTTCTGTTTCTTTTCCTCTTTCTGTAAAGTTTTTTTTTTCTTTTCTTTCCTTTTGGATTGGATTGAGGGAATAGAATTAAACACATACTTACAGACAGAACATACATACATATGTTATGAGAAAGTACTCGGAAATTATGATATACATATATGCGTACACACACACAGGTATATAAGATGATGTGATGTAATATGATGTGATGTGACATGACATGACATGATATAATTTGCTAGCGCATATTTAAAATGGTCTTTTTGCCTTAAGCCTCTGATTTCAGATATCCGAGATACCCCCCAAAAATTCTACAACTCAACTCTATTTTTTTCCCCCTCCGTCTTCCGCTTCCTCGTTTAGGATATGTGAGTAAGTTGCCTAGGTAGACAGGTAGAGGTAGAGGTAGGTGTGTAGAGAGATGACAAAGTAGATGTTGGAGTGAAGTGGATAGATGTGGTGGATAGCGAGTGGGTTGAGTAAGTAAGTAAGTAGTAAGTAATAAATAAGTAAGTAAGTATTGAGATATGAGATGAGATGAGATATGAGAAGGCTAAAATAGAATAGAAGATGGGAAGATGGAAAGATTAAAAGAAATGAACTAGCTATACGCAGCAAAAGATTCGATGTGAAGGAGGAGGGGGGAGAGAGGTAACAGAAGAAAAGGAAATATTGCGTGAGAGAGTGATGGTGAAAATGAATAAAGCAAAAAGACAAAGAATGCACAGTAATCTACATTACATCCAATTCAGACTTGAGGAAGAAGAAGCTTATAAATAGAGCAAAGAAGAGTGTTCATAAGATTGAGATCACAGCACCCTTGCAGCACCCTTGATCACACCAAAAATCAAAATTTATAAAATAATTGTATATTTCATTTCATATATACGTTCAATATATGCCTATACTACGGGGAAAGAATATGGGCATGAATAAAACAAACGAAAATCCCGGTCCGGATCCAGATCCAATATGTTTGATGGTATAGTTGCCAGTCCAGAAGGGGGGAGCTTTCAAGTGAGTAGTAAGAGGTATTTTAGTCAAAAGGGGTGGGGCGGGGAAGCTGAAGAGATGGGTATTGATGCGTACCTTGAGTAGCGAATGCCGTTGATGTTGATGTGATTTGAAGTTGAAAGTGACACATAAAACTGGAGTGAAAAGGTATGGAATGCTGAGTGTTGTAGAGTAGAGGGAGAGGGGGGCAGGGTAAAGGAGAAAGGGTAGAGGGGCGGGTCGATCAGAAGGTACGTACCTCACACAAAGAGAACAATAAATCAAGAGGACAAGAAGAAATACATGAAAGACAAATATATCATCGTCCTTGACCAACCACCAGCCTTCAAAAACACAATTTGTAGAAGAATGCGCATGCAGATATACTCCATGCATGAATGACCTAATAACCCTCCAGATACTCCTCCAAAAACAGAAACAGAATCCATGTAATGTCTCGCCGAACAATAATAACTTTCCCCATATTCCATGCCTAATATGCTCATCTCTATAGAAGTGCTAACTATAGCTACCTAGAGTAAAACAGGTTCTTATTTACAACATCTCCTCGTCCTCGCCTTCATTTGTGTATCCACCAAACTGATAATTCTGAAATTCTCCATATCTGCAATGATCGAGTTAGTAAAAACCACGTGTGCAGAAAAGCTACTCAAAGATGGGCAAGAATTTGAAAAGGTGGGGTTGTACTCGGAGTGGGGATCGTTTGAGGTGGGGTTAAAGAAAAAGGGGAGAGGGGAAAGGTCAAGGTGCCAACACATTAACTTGAGATATAGGGAATACTCACTGGTTCTCCATCGCTTCAACATTTGGGTATCCATGAACGGCCTCGACATTGTTATAGACTGGGTCTGTAGACTGTTTGTATTGAGGTCCACCAACCGCCGATCCAAAGTGCGAGTAGATATCCTTTGAAGGACCAGTCGATTGTTCGTATTCTCGTGCAGCTAAGATTTCATAGCCAGATGCCATATAAGGTTCAACATGCTCAACATGATTCCAACGGGCATCTCCACCTTGAATTGGCGTCAATGGAGCGTGGCTACTACCATCACTCATAGTGTCGTCGTCCATACTTGAATCTTGTGTTCGAGACATTCTTTCTTCCATCATTTGACGTTCATATCTCATCTTGGCCATGGACTCTTCCTGCTCAAGACTAGTAGAAGGGCCAGCCCACAGATCTTGTGCCAACGCACGTCCTCCATTGTATGGTGGGCAGATTCTCCATAACTCAATCAATCGCATCTGCTGAGTAGCATCTGCAGTTTTGAAAAGTTCGATCTGGGTAGGATATAAAGAAGACGAATCGACACCATGTCTGGCAAGTATAATATCTACTGTAAGTTGATCTGTTTGAGGTGGTTCGGAAGCAGGTCTGGCAGCTTGCTTAGCAACATGTGCGGAATGGGTATAATGTTGAGAAATTGAGTATGTGTATGTTGGTTCAACTTCCTTTGGCTCTTCTACGGGGGCAGGAGGAGGGTTGTGGAGGGAAAGGTTACGAGCGAAAAGCATCGCGAGCTCTTCTTGTGTAGCCATGACGTATATGTGTGCAAGTAGTTACTCGATACTATGGCAGATAGATGCGTTAGTTGGGCTATTTTGAGGAGAAAGGGCAGAAGAAGGAATAGCATACCTTATGTTGTAAATGATTTGATAACCTGCAAGACACACGTTGCAAATGATTCTGACTGTTGCGGGATGTCTTTGAGAAAGCAGAAATGTTCGAATCGAATGTTGACCTGATTTGTAGTAAAGGCTAAAAGTCAGAGGAACATGCAGGTATGTATGCAAGAGAATGGAGCAGCAGACTGTGTGGACAAATGCAAAATGATTTTGCTTGTTATTATTGACTATGCTATGTATGTACTGAAGTAAAGGGGAAGGAGGATAGAATTACTCCCGAGAGAGATTAAGGGAAGGGAATTCTGAGATTGATTGAATAGAAGTGGTGGCGGAGATGGCGGGTAGGGGAGGGAAGAAAGATGGGTGACCTTTTGTAGGTAATGAATGGGAGGTATTGGTAGGAATTGGTAATGATTGATAAATGAGCTTATTTGGAATGGTTCAGCAAAGTAGCGGTACCCAATCCAATAAGCCACAGAAGTTGGGATGAATCTGAATGTTTCAAGTGTCTTATAATCTCGTGTGTGATTGTGATTGTGATTGTGATTCTTTTCCAAACATTTAATGGCAAAGGCAAGATAATATAGTAAATTGAAAAGGGTTTTGAGAGTTTGTGTTTATGGGAGTTTATCGAGGGAGAAAGTCGAAGGAAGGATGGAAGGAAGGAGTTGAAGGAAGATAGATGTATAGATATATATATATATATATATATATACTAGGTAGATATAGATATATATATATATATATATATATACTAGGTAGATATAGATATATATATATATATATATACTAGGTAGATATAGATATATATATACTAGGTAGATATAGATATATGATCTCAATGTGGATATTGATATTCCCCCTCATCAATATGCTCCGGACTAATACAAATATCGTATCGTATCGTATCGTATCGTATCGTATCAAAGAGAGATAAGCACGTGCTACTCAGTAACCCCTCTTTGTTAAATTATAAAAGATGATGAAAGACGAGACGATAAAAGACGGTAAAAGACGATATTCAAACCATGAAATCCTATTAAAGAGAATCAAAGGCGGATGATTTTCTATTTTCGAAACATATTGGGCTCCAGCTGTTAGCGTCACACTGTTAATTGCTTTATCTGCCAATTGTTCCATGACACGAGTATCACCTGGGTTCAATTTGCGGGCTCGACTGGATAAGGATTTTCTTTCATTTCAGATCTCCATGCTTTACAATGCAGTGTGCACATAAAAAAATACAGATGAACAACTGTTTGTAGATCATTAGGTACCAATTAATTAGATGGATACTGGGTATGTATGAAGGGTGTATCTCCTATGTCTCCTATGTCTCCTATGTCCCCTATGTCCCCTATGTCCCCTATGTCCCCTATGTCCCCTATGTCCCCTATGTCCCCTATGTCTCCTATATCTCCCTTTAGTTGATTTGAGTAATAAAACTCATCTACCCACTACAAATACGCAATCAAAGACGCTCCGCTGGGCCACTGCCGTGGAGGCTTCTTCGCTACGCTCTAGGTTTTCCCATCTACATCTTCTGGTTCAAAATATTAATATTCATATTCATGTTCATATTCATTCAATTATCTGATCTGAAGACCACTTACTCCGTACCTAGTATTTGAAAGAGTACCGATGAGTACCTACTGTACCTACTGGGCAGGTATTAAGAAACATCCATCCGTACGCAGAGGAGCTGGAGCGAAGCGAAAAAGCCCCCACGGCAGTGGCCCAGCGGAGCGTCACCAGATCTAATCCAATGTTGTATGTATTCGTATATCGTTCGTATAAACTTTGAGAAATCTCTATACTTTCCTTACCTTTCATCACACGCAGGTATAAATAAGATGGACGTAAAATGGAAGTATATCAATTTTAAGGCCAAAAAGATGATGAATGAAAATCAAGTGACCTGCCATGTGTCTGTATAAGACTTCCCTTCGCTTCTCTTCTCTCCTCTTTCTCAGCTCAGTGACGCCCTCTCCCTCTTCCCCTCAAAGCCCCCCCATGTCATTATTGTCATTGGGTATCTCGGTATTACCTATTGAGCATCACTTTCTGTCAGGGGTTCATGACCCTTTGCCTTCTTTCAACTTTCTTTATCGCCCACCACTTGACCTTATCCGATCATTTTTCCGATCATTGTTCTTATCGTCATGTGATTCAAATCCGATCTGATAGATATGTACATACCTTATTTTTAAGGCTTGAATTTCAAAGATGACGCTAAGAGCCGCCCTCCAACCTAAACGCGTTTCGTGGTGGCCTGGAGCTCTAAATATACAGAGTCTAAAGAGCTTCATTAATAAATCTCTCTCAAATTTCACCACCGTATCCCAATTATTTGTCTTTAAAGCTCCCAAATATCTTCCATTAAAATCTTGAAATCATGGTAAGCTTCAATTTATCCAAATTGGCAGTTTGGATCCAGTAAATGAGCTTCTTAAGCTAACTTCCTGCCCTATATTAGACTTCGATAGGTACAGGTTACGATCTCTCGAATTCCGTCTTTTCCCCTGATGGACGAAACTTTCAAGTCGAATATGCAGTAAAGGCAGTTGAAAATGGTGGAACCTCTGTTGGAATCAAATGTAAAGATGGTGTTGTGCTTGCAGTTGAGAAAGTCATTACCAGCAAGCTCCTAAAGGCGGGAGCCAACAAACGTATTGCGACAATCGATAGACATATGGGTGCTGTATGTACAATCCTGATACTTGGATGGTCATTTTGAAGTGATAAAATGGCTAATGATCCTTTTATAGGTATCTTCGGGATTAGTACCAGATGGTAGACATTTCGTTTCCCGTGCCCGCGATGAAGCTGCAAGCTGGCGTAACGTTTACAAAACTCCAATTACAACCGCAGATTTGGCTAGTCGAATGGGTGGATATCTTCAAGCATATACTCTATATTCATCCGTACGACCATTCGGTATAACTGCAATCGTCGCAGGCTACGATTCCGAACAAGAATTGCCAGTTGATGGACAAGTAGGAAGTGGACCAATCATTGGTTCCGGAGGAAAGGTTGAGGGCAAGAAATATGGAGGACCAGGTCTTTACATGATTGAACCAAGTGGATTATACTGGGGTTACTATGGAGCTGCTACCGGTAAAGGACGTCAAGTCGCAAAGGCCGAATTGGAGAAGTTGGATCTTGCAGCTGGCAATTTGAGTTTATTAGATGGTGTTAAGGAGGCTGCACGAATTATCTATGTTGCACATGATGACAACAAGGATAAGGAATTTGAGCTTGAGATGACTTGGATTAGTAACCTTGATGGGCCAACAAAGGGAAGACATGAGGAAGTACCCAAGGATATCCTTGAGGAAGCTGAAAAATTAGCGAAGAAGGCTTTGGAGGGTGACGATGATGAGGAAGAAGAGAAGCCGGCTGAGACGGCGGCTGAAGGAGATAAGATGGAGGAATAGTTGAAGAAGTATGTGTGAGAACCTCACTGTATCAACACCTGCCTTCACATTTTACATGGCTCAAAAGGTTTTGAGCTTGATCACAGCATATGATACTCTAATGATGCATTTTACGCCCTGATCTGAGTTTGGTTGATTATTTTGACTGTTGAATTTGGTGAATACTTTGGATTGTGATTCTATAACTTAGCTGGGTTGCCTGCGTTATCTGCTTCAAGTTAGACATGGCTCCATGATTACAATCTTCGTTCACATTAATGATTGAGAAAAGGTGGTACGTTTTCTATTCTACTGCTTTCATTATATAGCGTTACGTGATCCGTTACAGACAAGTCAGTCTGACGCTGGAAAGTTCTAGGTGGTTGAGAAGAGTCAACAGTTACCATACCTCCCTACCATTTAGCTCTAGTATAGTGTCAGGCAAACTTTCCCATTTTTCAGATTTGCAACAAAACCTCTCCAACGTTATTCTATTGGGTGTCGTATGCAAGGCAATTTACACGTACAGTTAGCATCTTGTCTCTAGTCGACAGTGGTGGAAAATTTCTCCTCAATTTAAGATATGCAACAAAATTCTGCTATATTATCTTATTGGTTGCATAGTTCTTACAATCTCATTCAAAGCCAGGAGCTCCTTCTCCACACAATCTTCTAGAAATAGCAGTCGCCAAAATTCGTCTGAGAAATGGAACGAAGTTACAGTGCAGTAATTTACGGGGTAACGCCTCTTTGTACTCTGTCCCCTGGACTTTTCTCCCACTTTGTAATTTTTGCGGTGACCAATTGTCAAGTTACCATCCCTTCGTCATTTCATTTGCCATCATTACAGTCATTTATCCTGGAACTGGATTTCCATGGGATTTAGATGATAATGGCGGCGGCGGTAAGGATCCACATAACTCATGGTTGATTCGTACATCCCCTGGAGAAAGAGCTGAATAGCTTGAAGGTTCTCCGCATTTGGCTGATACTTTTATCGATCATTGCCTCTGCAGTGAGTCGAATGGCCGTTTTCAAGACCTAGCGATTGGTACCCGGTGAAAACTGGTGGGCACTTTCGGGTTGAAGCCTCGTGTGAAGATGGGAGACTGCTAAATCTTCAGGGGGTGGTTATCGTCACAGTATCTGGGTCTACTCTCATCAATTATCTAGAATATACCTCACCTACCAAGAAGAAGCACAATTTACAAGAAATTCTCGCATCAATAATCGATCAAGTAGAAGAATAGTTTTTTCTTTCCTTTTCAATTTTACCCCCGACCTATTTCAAGGCCCATCCCATCCACCACCACACGCCTCCGTGGCCACTTCACCCCCGCTCTCCTGATCCTTCCTTCCAAAAGCCTTGGAGAGATAAATACTCTCCCATTCACGTGGATCCGTGACTACAGAAGAAATAGTCAGAGCATATTAACCCATGATGATTTATCACCTAATACATTACAGTATATGCAACCCCTCCCCCCAGTCCAGTAAACCACAAGTGGCTAACGCGTTGGGCAGAAATGTATCTCCTGGGTAATACCTGGCTAGCCACCACTCGCTACGGAGTACCTAGTCGCATCGCCTTTCGTGATGTGTGCCCTTTTCTTCCCGAATGACTTCATGGGTTTCTGCTCCTCCTTCTCCGTCCGGGATATATGGTGTGGTGTCTTCTTTCGCTGTATATTTATTTATTTATTTATATATATATGTATAGATTTGAGCATACTAGAGACTCTAAACTAAAACTCGAGATTCTAGCTCTAGCTCTAGCTCCAGCCCTAGCTTCTTCCTCTAATTCGTGCACCAGTATACAGGAACTCGGGAGTTGTACATTCAAGACTTATATCGCTTCGAGGTCTCGATTTTCGAATTTCATCTATCAGTTCCTAACGTTCAACCAAAAGCAAGAAGTCAAAGCAAAGTAATCATGGGTTTCTGGTCATCGCGAAAATCATCTCCTTCCCCGTCCACAACACAACGGGAGAATGGTAAATCGAAACCAAAACCGGCTCCGAAGAAAGCAGTTCCTCCTCCTTCTAAACCCAAATCGAAACCCAAACCCAAACCCAAACCTCGTCCAGGAAGAATAATCGTACATTTTGTTCGTCACGCCGAAGTATTTTTCCCCCTCTTTCAACCCCCTCAAATCCATCCTAACCACCCCCACAGGGCTACAACAACCTGCGCGAGCGCGGCGCCGGAGACCTCACCGATCCGCTCCTCACACCCCATGGCAAATCCCAATGTCTAACGCTCCGCACACAATTCGCGCATCTCCATCCCCAACACATCCTCTGCTCGCCGCTACGACGCACGCTGCAGACGGCACTGCTCGCTCTCTCCCCCCGCACCCGCATCCCCATCACCGTCGACCCGGATCTGCGCGAATACGGGTCCGTGCCGAATTGCACGGGGTCGCCGGTGGCGGAGCTGAAGAGGAAACATGAGGGTGTAAAGTTGAAGATGGATTTTGAGAGGGTGGAAGACGGGTGGGAGAGGAATGTAGAGAGGGATGGGCGGTTTGTGGAGGGGAGATGGAGGAGGAGTCGCGAGCAGAAGGAGAGGAGTCAGCGGGTTTTGAAGAGATTGTGGGAGTTGGGGAGGGAGGGGGTGAAGGCGGCCGAAGGCGATGTGGAGATTTTGGTTATTTCACATGGAGATTTTTTGCATGGGTTGACGGGGGATTGTGAGTTTTTTTTTTTTTTTTTTTTTGAGTTTTTTGTTTTCTTTTACTTCCCTGCTCACCCCCTTTCTCTTCACATTCTTCTCTCCCTCTTCCTCCCCCTTCCACTCCAATCCTCAAAATTCCAATCCAAAAATCCAAACTAACCAACTCCCCCCCCCCCCCCACCAGACTGGCACAACGCCGACATCATCTCCCTCACCATGATAAAAAGTAGTCGTGGCTATGGATTTATCGATCCGCCGAATCGGTTTGCGTATCATTGATTTTATTTTCATATCCATATCCATTCTCACTTCCATATTATCATTACTATTATTATTATTTCTCAGGGGCTGGGAAGGGGAGAGATTGGAGGTTCGTTGGTTAGTTTAGATTGATTGATTGATTGGTTGATTAATTAGTTTCGCAAGACAATTACGAACTCATCGTTATCATCATTATCATCATTGTCGTTAAGACTTCCGATGAGATGTAAGATATGAGATATAAGATACAAGATATATAAGATACAAAATTCAACGTTTAACGTTTCTATGATGACTACGAGAGAGATATAAGACTATCTACCTACCTACCAAGCTCATACCAATACCTATACCAATACCAATACCAATACCAACATCAACATCAAACCCCCACCAAACATAAAAATACCAACTAGCCTTCCGAGGGAATGCATACCACATAGGTAGCGATTATTCAGAATTACTTGGAGATGAATGGTGATGATGTATTATTCCCACTCCTCTTACATATACCTAGCTACCTACCCACCCACCTGCCTCCTTTCTTCCCTTCACATTCACATCCCATATAACACAATATAAACAATATAACACAATATCATTCTTAAATACACTCATTTATTAATTCATTCCTTCATTCATTTATTCAACACAATATACAATATATTGTTAACACCTCTATTTATATATTCATTCATTCATCTACATACATACATATCCTTGTTTAACTCTCATAGCCACATATATATATACAAACATTGGGAGAACAAGTAAATAGATATTTGATACATTTCTCTCCTTTCCTCTCTTCTCCTCTCTTCTCCTCTCTTCTCCTCTCTTCTCCTCTCTTCTCCTCTCTTCTCCTCTCTTCTCCTCTCCTATTCCTCCCCCTTCCCTCTCCTCCCCCTTCCCTCTCCTCCCCCTTCCCTCTCCTCTTCCTTCCCTTTCCTCTTCTCTTCTTCCCCTTTACTCTCCTCCCTCACACTCCCTCTTCCTCCTTATCTTCCCTATCCTCGCCCAAAAAAAGTCCTCTAATCTACTCGTATAAATATTAATTGTTGATATCAAGTAAGCATCCATTCCGGATACTTTGCCGAGATATATTGATTCAATGTTGATATTAATACAAACATGAAAAATATTAACATAAACATAAACATAAACATAAACATATATCATATACAAGTCACATACGCACACACACACACACTACGCATTATACACCACAAACATATTCAATTCAATACAATGCAATTAAATCCAATCAAAATTAATCAATCCATTCAATTCTCACATCACATCACATCGCCTCACCCCACTCTTCAAACTACATAACTCCTCACTCTACACACCTAAAGAAAGATGAAGAAAAGAAGGAAAAGAAAAAACAAAAAAGAGAAAGCTACCTAACAAAAACATATAAGAAAGAGACACACACATAAATGAGCGCTAATCGCGAACCAATTACTCCCCCAACGCCTCCATCCATCCATCCATCATCTCCAACGTGTGTAATCATCATAACTCATATCATAGCTTCTGCTCTGCTCTGCTCTGTTCTGGTTCTGCTCTGCTGTTCCATGCCATCAAATCTTGAGATCCATCCGCCTATCTTCGAGCAACCAAAGCTACACTTGATAGTCATCAACTCCAATCCAAATCAATGCAAACCAGCTGTGTTTTCTGATCATCTTTCTCCATCTCTCAAAATAGTGCATAGATATAAGACTACTCGACCATGTATCTGCTGCATCTTCGTGTCTCTCCATGCATGATGAAGTCCTCCTAGATGGGAAAGAAAGAAACATGTGAAATCTACGTCATCCCATGTCATCCTAGACAGTGACCGCACCAGCAAAAAAATCAGGCTATCAAAAAGAAGGCAGTTGCTCCTTGATAGAACCAACTAAAGTTCTTATAGTCTTTGCGAATGGATATTAAGAGAGAGTAAAAGGAGAAGGGTATCTTTTATGATCGATTGCTCCAAAACCAAAACCATCTCAAATACGAGGTATAGAAAGGAGAGAAGCCGTTGATCTCGCATACAAAAGTGGAAGAAATTCTATCTCGCTGAAAGATCATCATCATCATCATTATTGAGCGCCGTTATCATCCATTTGTCTTAACATAACCAACATCTGTTATACCCACAGACAATCATTGACATAGGAAGAAGAAATATTTCGTGGTTTTCTTACATTCGAAAACATGAGTACCGTTGACATCTCAAGATGCTACTTCTTGTTTATATGCCATATCTGTCATACCACTTGCTCGTTTCTGATCAACAATCTCTCGAGCATAAAAATCCACAAGCATTGTGCCATAAGCCTCTAATACTTCAACGGGAACAGATAATCGGAAGTCGTTTAATAATAAAAATTGAAGCTCCAAATGGTTCAATTCATTCAACGGCAATCCACCAACCTAGACAGACGTTAGCATAAGGAAAGAAGTATTTCATGATAAAATTTACCTTGGCGTATCTAGAATTTGTGTAAAAAACATCAGAGAAGAATTTGCTGGCACAAGTGACACCAGCAATAACCAAACGATGGATGTTAAAACTGTCAACTACAAAGAAGTGGGAGAGGGGAAACTGAGCCAATCCAGGTTCAGGATCTTGTGAGTGAGAGTATTGAGCATTTTCAAACTCGGATTTGAGCTCAGGAACGCTTCTAGCTCCTGGTGGGGTATCCGCCAAATCAGAACCCTCTGCAGAATAAGTAGACGAAGGTCGAGAACCATCTAGATCCATGGCTTCTTGTCGCATGGCATTTATGGGTTCCGCATTAACTCTCTCCGTCATTCTATCAAAGTAGACTAACAAACTCAAGAATACCTCGTATGTTGTTGGGCAGTATTTGTGTATTCTGGTTAAGTAACTCAAAATGGTAATGCTAGGCACATTCTTTCCGTGAAATGCGAGTACGCTCGAAGATAGTCCAGTAAGATTGGCTGTATTTTCGGCAGATGGAATGGATCTTTGTAAACTTTCATGTTGACGATCGTTTGTGGTGGTGATTTTGGTCAAGAGTCCGGCTACCATTTCGATAATATCTGTAATGGGCATACCACTGATCTCGTATTTTAATCCAGCCTCACCTGCTGTCCGTGAGCCTCCAATCTGACCTCTGGATGAAAGGAATTCTGGGCTGGCGAAACTTTCAATATGTGCCAAATCTCTAACTTTGATCGTGTTACCACCATAATTCTGTACATCATCGAGAGACTTTGCCGATCTTGGTATTGTCCGCTCGGATGTCCCAGATGCCATTCGAGGCCTTAAAGGAGAATCGGTGCTCAAAGTATGCGAATGCTCGGCTCGTGTAGGAGGCGCTGAAGATGGAGGGAAATTTCGCTGACTTGTAAATTGTTGTTGTGTATGTGAATTCGGGTTTGGACTGGAACTCGAAGGAGGAGAGATAGGTTCGGACTTGATATGAGGCTCGGTTTTAACTCTGGTGCGGTGGTCTACATCATGAGAGTCACCATATTTGGCTTGCATATTTGCGCTTGGAGGAGGGGTACCATCATCTACTGATGTGGGGTGGGGGTTCGGACTTGGTGGAGGCTCGACTCTCGACCGGGAAGGTTGTCGATATGGTGAATCCTCTGAAGAACCATGATGCCCTGCAGCGGGTATCATTGTATGGGGGTGGAAGCGTGATGAATCTGACACAAAATCAATCACCGCAGCCATATCAAGAAAATGTGATGGTCGTGAAAACCTGATCAGTCGTTGCGATTAGCTCTTCTGTTCTCTCCCAAAGACTGCGATGGCTTGAACAATATGGAGACGAGAGAGAATATAATAATGATAGGAATGTCTTTTTTCAAAAGTGAGCGCCGACTGAGTCCTTGCTGTTGATGTAGGGTGGCTAGGATGGCCAGAAGGTTCAGAAAGTCTTATCGTGAAGGTACTTTGCCTATCGATCGGTCTTTAACTACCTAGTAGGTACCGGATAAAAAGGTAAATGAACAAGCCAACATCAACACAATCCTTCCTGAGTCTTTGAACATCTGCCGACTATCTTCTGGTGCAAACTTCCATTTCTCGAAGATTGTTTATGAATTGTGAGATTGCGACGACAAACTCCACGGTTGACAAACGACGCGCCATTTTATGGCCATTCTATCAATCTTTCGTGGGGGTAACAAGAGATTCCAATACAACAAAACAAACAGACACACACACACACGCAGAGACTGGGCACTGATTGATGACTTGAATAGGCAGGCATGCACCGTATTGGCACCGATATAAAGAAGATTCAAAAAAGACTGAGACTTACCTGCAGCATTCCTAATCAAAACAATTTAAAGATTAATGGAGGAAAGAGGACAAATTTCTCCCACGAGAATAGAAAAGGTTGATATTTTAATTGTTTTGTTGTATTAAGAGAAGATGAGTAGGGTGACAAGTGTAGGTCGATCGAGAGAGGAAGAGGGCAAGAGAGAGAACAGGTCGTTAATCATTTGATAAGTTTGATTGGGGGGGGGGGGGGATTTTATTATTATTATTATAATTATTATTGAGGGACGTGAATTATGGAAAAGAGATTTGTACGGAGAAGGTGGTTGATTGATGAGTACTGACTGGGTAGATACTGGGTATGTAGGTATGGGACTATGTACTGACTGGGGCGGCTGGACTGTCGGGTTGAAAGAAGATGTGGAGAGGGCGCTGGGTGTGGTACAATCGATTCACTACCACTGGCCGAAGGCTGCCCGACTGCAGTAAAAGTACCTAGTAATAAGTGCAAATAAGTTACCTATGACGAAAAGTTGGAGATCTACGAGAACCCTGGATTTACGAGGGAGAGAGAGGATTGCCTGAGGTAATAAGGTAATAAATAAATCATGGATTGAATCGCACTGATCGATCAATCGAATTATGGAGATAGAAGATAGAAAAAGAAGAGAGAAAAGAAATACGAGAGAGTATTGATTCATATAGTGGATTTATATATATAACTCTAATAAATACATTGAAGCATCAATCAATATCTCCCAGGCCCTAGGAAGGGTTCATACCTACATACTCAACTTGATACATTCTTCAATGGTAGTCTACCACTCTCAGATAGACTACGCTATCTAATTATCTTCCGTTGGACCCAATTACTTTTCGCCGTCAAAATTCTACTCATCTAGAGCGAATCGATATTTCCTATCTATCTCAAGAGTACGTAGGCATCTATGTAGGCAAGATCTTACCTATTCTCTATCATGAATCTAGACCGGTATCGCACTTGAAATCTAAAAGGAGTTGTTGGAGTTAACGCTTGTGTTCCCTTCAAATTCATACCAAGAGTACCTAGTAACCACAGGTACATCCATCCACAACTCAACAAACCGAGATACCCTTAATTCCATATCATTAAAAGCATAAAGAAGATCCTATTGAATCTTCTTCATTTAAAATTGCCCCGTAGCCTATAACAATCACACATGTTGTAACCCTGAAAAGTATCAAATCATACTAGGTACTCCTACAAGAAATGTGATACGATTAAAATTCGGAAAGAAAGCCACACATGAGAATCTTCCTATTCTTAATCTCACCGCTTCAATTAAAATGCAAATTTCCCTGGATTGACCACCATTACGAAACCTTGCAAATAAATCCATTGCGTAAACTCCATGGTATTATGGTCGGGTTCTATTCGTACATTGATTCATCATCTATTGATGACGGACGGTATAATTCGTGTCTGGCAAGTACAGATGCCTGTTTGCTCCCTTAGCCGTCAAAACCACCATTCTAATGACACCTCCGGAACTCCCATCCCATTTGATAGCCTCCTGCAATGCGCCCTTAACAAAGTCAACAGCATCAGCCTCTTCCATACCTTCCTTCCAGTTTGCATCACAGTATCCGTAGATGTATGTTGAGCCGGAACCTCCAATAGCATAAGATTGCTTGTGTAACGATCCTCCCAATGGTATTGAGTAGACTTGACCTCCGTGTCGCTCATCCCAACCAGCAATAATCAAACCAGCACTAAATTCAAATCAGAACAAGAAACTCGCGGAGTTGAACATCATTCATACCTCAATTGATCTTTGTTATCGTAGCAAAGTTCCTGAAACATAGCGGCGGCCGTTTGTGTAGTTGGTGTTTTGCCATTCAAAACTCCATACATTCCCAGCTGGTAATGAACAATATCCGCAACAGCTTGGGTATCAGCCGCAGAACCCGATCGACAACACCAAATTGTATCATGTACTTGGGTGAGCTTGTCTGTAACTCGATTTGCGATATATGAGCCGGTTGTTGTTCTACTGTCCGCACCTATCCAATACAACCATCAGTAACTCGTATACCCCGCAGATTGTTAGTTAAAAGAACTGACCCAAAATGACACCATCCTTAAAGTTTATGGCCATACTGTAATCAATGTCAACGCTGATCTCCAGTCGAACATTATTGTTATCGTGGTCTCTAGGCTTCTTACATGGAGGTTCCTAAACTATCATATCAATCAGTAAAGCTCAAAATGTAGGGCTAGGATACCTAGGTATCTTACTTGACTTCTCCCTTCTTCAAACGATCCATATCCACATGGATACCATCTTCAAGAAGCTCTCGTTAGCTTTCACTCCACTGGTAGCTGAGTTGGATACCGAAATACCTTCATTCAACATTCCTGTGTTTCCAAACTCCATCTTGAAAGTTTTAATATTGGTGTTATTTAATTTTGAATATGTAGAAAAAACAAATGCGAATCGTTAATCGTTATGTTCGTTGGGGTGGAAGATGAGCTACCGATTTGAAGCTCTCGAACAGGCAGACCTTAGACGCGAGGCAAGGCAAGCAAGCGCGAAGGTGAGGCAGATCACGTGGTGATAATGATTTGAGCTTGGGCGGTTATTCCCATTTCTTAGGGCTGCTCCCGGTGAGATTTCTTAGGCCTCGTAAGTTGGTAGCTAGCGTGTGCCTAGTCTTCTTATATACATACCTAGCAGTGAAAGTTCGAGTTCAAGAAATAAATATTTACGAACTAATAAATGCTATTTACAATTTATACAAATGGATACCGGGCGTGATTGAATATCCCCTACCTATTACAATCCAGATAACAATACCCCCAATACTCCAAAATCTAATCAACGCCCTCTTTCGATCAGTTCCTGACCTCGATTCCTAATTGTACATGGCCTTGCATACCCATAGTTGTGAGAGACCTAAGGCAAGCTCTTTCTTGTTCTTGCGAATGAGAATCAGATAAACGTGCTTTGTGCCAGACGAGAAGCTCCTTTCCTGGACTAATGCTCAATTCCAAGTGCTTTAACCTCCCCGAGTCAAACTACACCCATTGTATTAGCATCACATCATCCCCTCAAGAAGATGCTTGAGCTCAAAGGAGAACCTACCCTTCCTTATCCAACTCTAATGGTGTGAAACCCTCTCCCTCCCCCTTCTTAACCTGTGTCTTTGCCTCGCCAGCTTTCCCCGGCTCACCATCCTCGGCACATCCACAGTCGTAGAAGTCTCCAATCTTACTACAATCGAATATCTCCTTCTTCAAACGCTTGTTAACTTCGTTATGGACATGACATGCCCACGCCGCTGCCGTACTCCTCGTTGCCACTTGAGGTGGATATTTCTTCAATAGCCCTTGGAAATGTCGCGCACAGTCGCCACATGGATAGAGGCGCGCAAATAAATGGATATAAGATTTCAAAGCCGAGCTGTCTTCTTCTGTAGGCTTATCGGGGAATTTGGCCATCATCGTGTGTAGAACTTTCCAGGCTGCATGGCCGAGTTCCGCTCTAAAGGGTGAGAATGTTAATAAGTACAAAGATAACATCATTCCAACCGTATTTTGCAGATGAGTGACATACTTTAACGTGGCATTTTCCAGCTTAGGGGCAGTGGCTGCTCCATGAAGAAGATTGTCATCGACGAGAATTGGCGTTTTATCCAGAGGGAATTCGGCGTTATAATCACTCTCTGTGCCATAATCTACAGCTCTCGTTCCATGATTTTGATTGCGAAATGTGAGTACAAAGAATATGCATAGAAAAGCTGCTACCGCTATTCCCGCAAGAGTAAAGTGCGGCTTTCGAGCCATGATGTATTGTGACCGAAGAGGAATTATTTGTACTGATGATTGTGATATGGTTGGCTAACGGTACAGAATAAGGGCCAACTTCTTAGATTGAACTCGGCTCCGAATGTTTCGATGAATACCACGTAGCGTTGTTCGAGATGTCAGCAACAAAGGAAAAGAGAAGCATTAATTCAAAGTAATGAATGACAAAGTTAGTTTGAGAAATCAGTGAGGAAGAAACTAATTCCGAGCATTCGACAAATTCATCTCAACTACCTACCTACTTATTTAGGTACATACATAGCGTGATAAATTCCTATTTTAGCAATCACCGTCCCTCGAATAAATTAATTCCAAGACTCTTATTCGTTCTATTTGACTGTTTCATATTCATTCAAGATCTTATCTTGATTGGCTACAAAGCTGTAACATTTCTCTTTCTCCACCCCCATTTATTCAGGTACATTTCGGAGCATCATTCCTCCCTTCCGTCATTTCTGCCCCGCGTTCTCCGAGCTCGGAAACATGAAATATTTTTTGAGCTAGATGACTGTGTTGTATTTACCACATCTCCGTGGAAACATTGAAAGACTTATTAACAATCTTGAATCCTTCACGATCTTAAATACTTGCTGTGCTACTTCCAAATTTCTGGATATCTTGACTTTCAAAACAAATCTCATCAGATTTTTTTTTTTTTGCAAATCAATATGACTTTCCCCCCACCCCCTGTTAGCACAATCGACTGGAGTGATATTGGCTTCAAATTCCGTGAAGGTAATATCAATTTCTCTGTCCAAGCCTTCCTACCATTGCTCAATTGATTGCTGTCAGAAGGCTCGTCAACAGAAAGCTAATTCTTCCTTCAGTCAACGGTCATATCGAATCCCACTACTCAGTTAAAACCGGCCAATGGACCCCTCCAAAATTCATTACCGATCCCTACCTCCGTCTTCATGGCATGTCCCCCGCTCTCAATTATGGCCAACAAGCATACGAAGGCATGAAAGCTTTCCGCACTCCCGGAGACTCCTCCATTACCATTTTCCGTCCTACCAAAAATGCCGCTCGTCTAGCCCACTCTGCAGAATTCATCTCCATTCCTCCTGTTCCTGAGAATGTCTTCATGGACTGTGTACATGCTGCTGTCTCTTTGAATGCAGAATATGTACCACCTCATGAGACAGGCGCTGCCATGTATATCCGACCTTTGATCTTTGGTTCCAGTGCTCAGTTGGGATTGAGTCCCCCAGAGGAGTATACTTTCTGTGTCTATGTCCTCCCAGTGGGTGTTTACCATGGTGTACATCCAGTTAAGTGCTTGATTCTCGAGGAATTCGATCGTTCTGCACCACATGGAACCGGAAGCGCAAAAGTGGGAGGAAACTACGCGCCAGTGTTGAGATGGAGTGACAAAGCCAGAAACGAGGGATATGGTATAACATTGCATTTGGATAGTCAAACGCGCAGCGAAATCGACGAATTTTCTACAAGTGGATTCATTGGCGCGAAGAAGGAGGGGGATTCCATTACATTGGTGGTACCGGATAGCAAGAATGTTATTGCTAGTGTAACATCTGATAGTATCTTGGAAATTGGAAAGAGTCTTGGATGGAAGACAGAAGTTCGCTCGGTTAGTCAATCCTCCCCTCCTTTGTTTCTTGCGCATTTCCCGTGTCCCATCCATTTTATTACCTCCATTTCGCCTTCAACATATTCTAACTCTCATCTTTCTAGATCAAATATGAAGAACTCCCCACTTTCACCGAAGTAATGGCCGCCGGAACTGCCGCTGCTCTCGTCCCAATTCGCTCCATAACCCGTTACTCCGATAACAAAACTACAGAGTATATCCCTTCATCCTCCGAAGAACCCGGTGCTATCTGTGAGAAGCTTCTCACCACCCTTAAGGGAATTCAAGCAGGAAAGCTTAAGGATACATTTGGCTGGAATAAAATTGTCGAAAAATTGGACGTCAAGGACTTCACGACAGAGACAAATGATACCAATGGTTTGAATGGAAATGTGGATAAATTGCCTTAGATGTCAAGGAGACTTTCAATTGAAATAGTCTAAAAAGAATGATAGCGGCGTTGAGTGGCTGGGCATTAACAAATTGTACTATCTACAAGGTATTCTTCAATAAAATTTAAAGTGCGAACCCTTAGGAATTAAGACTTCTCCTCGGATTTCGTGCAACTAATTTAACAGCGTCATTACGTCATAGCCCCCAAGCGCCCGTTTTCTCGCTTAGTCATTCGGTCTGGATCTTTCTTATTATTACGCTTCTTCACGACCAACCATGCTTCGCGAGACACGAAATCAAGAAACAAGTAAATAAATGAAAATCATCCATCCATTTGGCACCAGCATAACATGATTAATATATCGAAACGACGTGAGATGGGGACTTCTTTATTAAGTGGAGGTTTCTTGTAAGGTTAGTGGTCGGGAATCAGAGTAAAAAGGCGAATGTATGGCCAAGGGTTCTCCGGATCTTTTCTTTGTACACCGGTGAGGCAATGCTGGTCATATGCTACTTTTTTGGTCCTTGATTTACACTATCCAAGCTCGGAGTTATAGGACTGATGAACATTGGGTTCCAATCAAAGGCAATAGAGTATATGCGAGGACTTGCAGGACTTGGGGTGAGATTTATATGATGTCGATGACCACAGACTTCATCTCACTTTCATCTCACGACTTTTCTTGCTTATGACGCGAGTTTATATGTTATACACATTTGTATATTCTGCTGCCACGGTATACTTTTTGCTATCACCGTAACCTTGATTTTTTTCCATACTCTGGTTTACATAGAATCACTTTTACAAGCCCATTACAAAACCACATCTCACAATGCTTATCCGCATACCCATAAATCTGCTTTTCCTGATACCTCTGGCAACCGCGAAAACCACAACTGTTACAACAGTCACGGAATCAGCAGCCTCTCAACCAACTTCTACATCATATACCTCTGATTCTCAATTCCAATCCGATATGATCGCGGCGCACAATTTCTATCGGGCAGAACAAAATGTTAGTAACTTGGAGTGGAATGATACCAGTGCGAAAATTGCGAAGAATTGGTCCAAAGGTTGTGAATTTAAACATTCTGTACGTCAAGTCCTTCTTTTCTGTCTCCCGCCCCCTTTCTCAAGTTGGACACTGCACAAATTCAAGCCTCCAAAATAATAACAAATAACTAACACCCATTATCAGGGCGGACCGACAGGCGAAAATCTAGCAGCCGGCTATCCCAATGCGACCTCATCCGTCGACGCCTGGGGTCTCGAACGCCTCAAATATTCGTACTCCTCTCCAGGTTTTAGCGAAGATACAGGTCACTTTACACAATTAGTCTGGTCAAACACCACATCTGTCGGATGCGCGCGTACCAATTGTGCAGGCGAAAACGATACGCCGGGATGGTATGTAGTGTGTGAGTATTGGCCAGCAGGGAATGTTGTAAATGGGAGGAAGGGGGATAAAGAGGAGTTTTTTAAAGACAATGTGAAAGAGCAGGTTAAAGGGGAAGCGAGTGATACGGTGGAGAGTGGAGTTACGAGTGCAGGGAGTAGTATTGCGGGAGGTAGTGTGGTGGGGTGGAGGGGGAGAGAAGGAGAATTGAGATGGGGTGTTTTAATGGGAGTTGTGGCTGTAGGGGCTGCGGGGTTAATGTTTTAAGATGTGTATTTGATTGGGATTTTGGGACGGGGAAAGGCGAATGGAGGAGAGACACAAGAAGGGTGTTTTGCTTAAGCGCGGTGTTTGGGGCTCTGTATTTACCCTGGGAAAAAGGATACAGACATGATATCAGGTGTAGAGGAACTAGTTTGGCAATTTGTTCAGTCAGAAGAATATACCCCATGATATAGAAGAATGGGGCTAGGTACCTCCTCGATGGATTTGATATGTCACAGGGCAGAATAAATCTTAGCTATTCCTGTTCAGGTATAAATGCGATTTCTCCATTCATCATGAAAGTGCTGATATCAATTTTTGTTTCTTGACAATAGCTCGATGGATCAGCAATACGTGTATTCGGCTAGAGTAGAAAATGGATAAAATAAAAGGGGGGTGAGAGGAGAGTGGGGCTCAACACAACTGGAACTATTGTTACCTATGATTTTTTGTTTATTTCGAAGAGAAGCTTTGTAAGTTGGAGATATGAAGTTTTGACATCTACGATTGAATTTGAGATGGAATGTTTTGGGAGTGGATGTGATGCTTTGTTATTTATGTTATTTGTGTACGCTTACCTATTTATTTATCTATCTACAAAGAGAACATCGCTTCGCTCTGGGAGGTCGATGTACATCTAGGTAGGTATTACTTGTTGTATTTTTGCATGGCAATTTTCTTAATCGAGAAAATCTATTTTCGATACTAAAGACCGGAGACTCTGAGAGCGCTGGAAACGTGGTCTGGAAGATCAGGAACGAGTATACAGCTTGATGCTGATGTTGTTTTGCAGCTGCGGAGCTCACTACTCGGATTGAGAAAGGCCTGGACGGGTATGTATTGTGGAATAGAATGAGGATGAGTGTTGATAATCGTATTGGGTTAGAATTGGAGATTTGTTACGCCTGAGCAGTAATTGTATCCCAAATGATGGGCAGTGAGGCCTTGTAGAGTTATCTTTACTGTAAATTACCTAGAAATTTCACAGGGAATTAAATCTCCTGCTCATTCCCGTTCCTTTGTTTTCTTGGTGAAAATAAATTCTCTGCATCTTATTTATTTGTACGTGTTATGATCGCATGCTGTCTAGCCTTTGGGGAAGATACATCCATCCTCATTCTGACCATATAATATTCTCTTTCGTCCAGTACTCAGCTCTTGATTCCTTACTTGAGCCTCGCATTTCAAAAAGGAAAACAAGACCTTTTAATCTCAAGATGCGCGTTATAGATTGCCCCCCAAGATTGATGTGTGGTATTCTTTACAGTCGGAACTCAGGATGCTGAAGTAGGTAAAGCTTGGTAATTCCAGAGGTGAGCATACGTAGTAGTTTGTGGGAATTGAAGAAGGTGCGTCTCACCTGTTTGCCATTTAGCCAAAACTTTGGGGGAAGTTTCCGTCTCGAGCAATTATGTTCGATGTGAATCTTTTGGTCATGATAGAAGCTTAATTCGATGCAGCACGAAGACTTTTCAAACAATTTTAGGCTTGCAATCTTCGGAAATGAGGAAGTATCATCACAGTCTTCATCACACATGATTCACAGAAGCATCAAAGCCCTCAGTAGAACAGGTCAATTCACACGAAAACAGCAGAAATTATTGTTGGAAGAATACATTCTCAGCTTAACTTTACTTTATAAAGCCAACAAGCATGTGTGTTGCCGCAATGAGCGCGGAACAAAATACCTATCATCTCTCCTCCCACCTCCAATAGCATCCCATATCAGTCTGTGTGAACCTGTATACACAACGAACTCATAGCTGAACATATCCTTCAACTATTTCCCACATCAAAGTAAGCTGTGTGCGCTCTCCACGAAGCACAATGCTGAAAGTTCATTGTCCGACTCTCGTCAATCGACCAGAGAAACCACCTTTCGCAGCCATTCTTCGCAAAATTGCTCGATCCCGGATCCAATCAAGATTCTATTGTTCAGTTAGTCAGGATATTAGAAGATGCAGAGAGAACTGCTTACCGGTAGTTGAATCCTCCTCAACCAGATAGTTCTCCCCAATCATCTGAGTACATTTCTTTGCCCTAAAATTCTCAGGTAATTGTCTTTCTAAGGCCAGGATTATGTCTCCCAACGCCTCCACCGGGTAAGAAAACAAATCTTTGTCACGAAAGCTAGAGGTCTTCCCCCAGCAACTGTGCTCAATCACAAAGCGTCGAAGAACACTGCCCTCAGCAGTATTATCATAGACGTATCTACAATCTCTAGAAGACAGATTTGTATTACAAATAAAGATTTTGTTACAAAGAACGCGGATAGTATAATTCTGAAGTCGGGGAATCAGAAACTTTTCGGCCAAAATCCAAAGCTAAAGCAGGGCACTATCTTCAGCCATGCACTGGATTATTGAATCGAAATCTTTGTGGGCGGCATTCAACTCTCCTGAATGAACATGGTCGAACTCCTCTCGGTAAACCCATTGCGTCAATAATCGAAATACCTCAGGGACAGTGTCTTCAATACGATAAGTCTGCGTTTGTCCCTCGACAAATACGCTATTGAAAGCACGATTCCAGACTTCCGAATGTTCGCATGCGATTTGTTTGTGGATCTGAAAGGTCTCTTGTTTGTCGCCTGTGCCAACGATAAAAGTGACCATTTCGTTTGGTGAAGAGAACGGCTTCTTTTTAGGATTTGTTGGAGGAGGAGTTGCGATCTTCTCAGCCGGCGGCTTAACTAGCGAAGACATTGTTGTCGTTGAAGTGGAAATCAGGTAATCGGTTTGTGAGATAGACGTGATGTGGTTTGATCTGGGGAGATATCAATTACACTATCGAATGGAAGTGGTTGTAGAAATGATGGAGAAATTATGATTTTGGAGGATGAGAAAAGTCTTTATAGGTTCGGTACTAGTCGAGTTAATATTACAGAACTTATTTTCGTTGAAGATGAAAAATAAAATGTGCAAGCAAAGTGAATGTTTAGTGGTTGGACTTGAACTGACTTCAGTGGCCTACAAAACGTTGATGTTTCAATCCAGTAGCGACTTTTCACTCAATTCGATGTGACAGACAGATCCCATTCATAAAAATGCCTTTAAAAACGAGTTTCTCATTGTTGCATTATAGTAGGTACGATTAAGGAGCTCGTTAGTATAGAATGTGAACCTCCAACTCTCTTTCAAGACCGGATCCAACTAACAACATCCAATTTCCTACGCCTTCAATCCAATAGTTCGCTAATACCGATTACCAGAATTCTCTGCATTCCTTCCTGTCATATCCTTTTACACCTATTCGCCTATACCATCCCGTTGAAAAATCAGGAAGACCTTCCACGGCCAGATAATTTCTGATTTTTCAGCCACCAAGAAACCACTGCAATTTGTCGCCATTTTTCTTCTTGTATGAAGATGCTGTAGCTTCCACTTTGTCCTGATCCTCCAAAGCTTGCCTACATTCGAAATCTTCATATGAGGGACCTACTTGTATACAGTCTAAGTCCGGACAGCAAACTCTTATACCGCTTATGGGATTGCATTTCACTAGTCCCTCTTTAATCTCAAATTTTCAAGAGAGGCAAGAAGAAAGAACTTACTGTTCATTGGTTTACACTTGGGCAACTCGGTGATATCGTCCAGTCTATGCGGCGGTTTCATTACTTCAAGAAAATCCCACTTGCTTGCTTCTTCTATCTTCTCTCCCTCTGACTCAAGACTTTCATCCATATTCGAGTTCAAGTTCAAGTTCTGTTCAAGTGACAGATATGGTTTCCGCAGTATATCCAGAGTTTCTTCGTCTTCAGACTTTACATCGGAAGGTGGACGGCATTCACTTATGCTTGAACTCCTGGAAATGTAGCAAACAAGTGACGGGCAACAGTATTCACCTTTCTGGAAATCGCAAGATGCTATTTTTCTAGTCATGAGTTTTCATAAGAGTGTATGAGTTTTGGAAAGGTCAATACGTACAGCCGGCTTTGCTACAAGATTCCTTCGCAGCAACAGTTTCATCACCTAGTCTCAAAGAAACCTCTAACTTCATACCAAAATCTTCACCAACCTCTTGATGTTTAGACTGAGGGGCGAGGGTATTCAGAACTGTCGAAGCCATTCCCCCAAATGCTCGAGAAATTTCACGGAAAGCATCCAGTGTCGATCTAGTAATCGGAGGCGCATTATCTTTTTCAAATTCGCAAACATGGATGCCATAGCCGTCTAGCTGACATTTTAGGCCCGAGTCTCTACAACAGGGTGTTTGGGCACAGCGACCTTATTTCATTTTAGTACAGCGCGATAGAACGAGATAAGAGGAAGGTTTTACCGCCTTGCTTGATGCATGCTCCATCTTGGGCGGTCGCTTTGGACCCGATACTACCAGCTGGATTTAAGACAGCAAAGGAGGATGCGATCGATAAGAAAAATATGACTTGTAATATTGGGGCGATGAGTAGCATCTTAAGTGGCAATCTTTGTCGTCTGTTATCGAGCTGCTATCTAATTTAAGGGGGGCGAGGGTCAACGAGTTTTAAGATCGTTGGTCAATGTTAATATCGCGATTCCCCGCATTCTTGGATCCCGTATATCGGGAATCGCATTCCACGCACAATTTAAGTTTTGATGTTTTACATTCCAGACCGTTGAGGCGCGGCAATTGATAGTGAATCACTAAAAAATCACGAGTTTTGTAATTAAAATGGAGAATTCATATTTGTATTGAAATTTGAAATAATGTTCTCCGGAAGATGTTGGCATAAATTCTTGGTGTGGCTTATACAACGCCATTTAGCCAGCGAGTAATATGTTGCGCTAGTGTACAGATTTCTAGGCTATTAGTACCTCTTTTCGGTGTGCGCTTAGAGAAGTGACATTGGAGGAAATAGTGAATGGACTTTCGATCGATCAGAAGCTTGAATAACCAAGGGATTGAAGAATCTTGATTATAATTTTTAGGATAGTTTTTGTTCAATGCGGATGAAAGTTGCCATTCTTAAAATTCGCGAGATCTTACGTCAAAAAATTGAGCATTCGGTCGACCCAAGATGTTCAGCTCCGAATTCAAATATGACCAGTATTCAAAAGAAATCATAAATATGATGAATATTGAAAGGCAGTAAGGGTTTCTGCCACTTCCTGGCGTCAGCTATGATGAATATATATTGTTGCTTCCTTTTTGTCTGCTAGGATGAAATGTTGCGGATCTCAAGAGGATAAAGTTTAAATCAAGGTCCGAGTGATAATGCTAGGTAGGTAGTCAGCTCCCCGGACCTACCTATCGGGAAAGGAGTCAGCGGAAGAACCTCCATACTGTATGAATTTGGCCTCCCATGATTAAGTGAATGGTGAAAGTGGATTGCATCCCAAGAGAATTGGAATCTGGAAGTTTCTGCTGAGATTTCCATTTCAAAATAGGCAATAGGAAATAGGAGATGGATGATTTTTGTTTATTTGTCAACTGAGAGCTAACTGCTAGAAACGGTGAGGTTACAGCTGGACTTGGTCTAACGGGCTACCATACCTAGAGCCTGGCTACTGTACGTAGGTGTTGTTCTGCGATGTAGGTCTGGTAGCTTTTAGCCTAGCCTTGAATATCGGGTCACATCGTACACGGCCATACATGGATCATATTGAATGGTCAGCATGGGTAGGTACTCTAGAGTCTGTTTACGCAGAAGGTAGCACGATCTAAATGGCACGATCTTCAGAGCTCTTTTTCACTACTTCCTCATCGAAATGTATCTTCTCCATCCTATTCATCAGTCTGATATCCATCAACAGTATGAATTGGTATGATGCAGCAGCTGTGTCTTAGCTGACTATCTATAGAAATTCCAGGTAGTCCGGGCTGAGTTTGATTTCTTTTTATATGTACGAAGAACCACTTTTGATAGAAGCCCCCGTAATAACAATAATAAGTAACAACTCTCTACTCTAACAGAGTTTGGAGAGTGCATTTACCCCATTCACGGAGCACGGGAAGATTTGTACCTTTGGGTCTAGCTTGACTTTCCTGACCCTCCAAAAACTCGTAGTTGATAGAATCGTGAAACTTGAAACCATTCCTTAGGAAAAGTAACGTCTCTATGACAGCTCTTGTCAGCATTATAAAGATTTAAGACTCGATGTCTTCTCAAATGCTACGCAGGATTTGGAATTTTACGCGGCGAGTCAGGAAAGGATCAACCGATACCGATGCCAATGGCAAATATTGCACAATCCCATCGTTGCTTCCCGTTCGCACGGGCCACATACGTCCTTTCCTGCTGCAGTAGTGGTATTATTAATAAGCTTCAATGATAGGCTTTCTACTCGTAGAAACTAATTGGAAAGTAAATGGCAAGCAAACACACTGTGATACTCGTATATTCTCTCAATTTCTGATCCTGCTCTGCGCAGTCATCTCCTCCGTGATGATGAGTATGAAGTATAAAGTGACGTCTTCTTTGGCTAAATTTTACGCCCTTGAAGTAAGTCAAGATCAATAATGTATCACGTCAAGAGATATGAAGTAGGTTGGTTGTTATTACATTGGGGCAAAATCTTCCATTACCGGTATCAAAATTCAAGATGATAATGGACTCTCTCGTCTTTGTCATGCACGATCTTTAGCCTTGCCAATTCCCACCTTTTGTGAATTCTTTGGTATGCTTTGATGAAGTTGGAGGAGGGGTAACTGAGATATACTGTACAAAATTTCAAATTGCTCCCATCGAGCCCATTTTTAAACATTTGTTTGCTTCTCCGAATTCTAGAGCTCCTTGCACTTCACGCATAAAGTTTTCGATATCCTTGTCATTACGGAGCATTTTCCGTGGCTGGTGTCGATAGGGATTCACTTCGATCTCCATACCATCGCAACTAACCATGGGATCGCTCGTCGAGCGGTCTCTCTAGACTTCAAGCTAGACCAAGACTTTGCTCAAATAAAATTAGTCCCCATGCACTGATGGATCTCTATATTGATCACCATTTCTTTTCTACACGTCAACCAAGCGTCTAGAGATGGATACATTCAATATTCAATATTCTGCTTGGTAGGATACAACATGCTGAATGATGTCCAACATAGATACAACACCTTCCAAGTCGGTGGTTTACCCATCGGTTGAAGAGTTTCAAGTCGAACGGATATTTCCTATTCGAAATCTTGTCAATGGAAGAGACCTCGATACAGAATCAACCTCGCAGAATACCGACGATGTTTCTTCATCGAATTCAAGCTGTCGAGGTCCTAATTCGGCTCAAGAGCCTTACGATAAAGATGACATTTTGAATGACAGCCATTCCGATGGCTCTAGCGAAACGAACGTCTTGCCACCGCCTTACCCACCAATAACTCCCGATGACCAAATTCGCAGATTACCTAAATATTCAATACATGACTATTCCACAAAGATTGAAGGTGCTGAAGGCCCATCTGAGAACGAAGATAGGAAGATGTCGCAACGTTCACAATTGATCCCTTCGAAATCGGGTCCTCCAGGCATAGCCCCCGGCGAACCTGTGAGAACTGAGGAGCGGACATTTTTCAAGTGTGAAGATGAACCTATACATATTCCAGGAGCAATTCAACAGTATGGTGCATTGCTAGCCTTGAGATATAATGATCAGGGAGATCTCATGGTTCGGATCGCCAGCGAGAATGCGTACAAAATATTAAAATATACCCCGGAGCAACTCTTCTCGTTAAATTCTTTCCTTGACCTTCTTGGCGTCGACGTTCGCGAAGATTTTATGGCACGAGTGGATCATGCCCTTCGAGCTGTCACCAAAAACCCATGTGCCGATACCAAACTGGATGTCTTCTCCATGTCAGTTGTTGCACACACAGGATTGGTAAATCTTTGGTGTGCGATTCATATATCTAAAGGCACAGATGATTTGATCATCTGTGAATTTGAACCATTTTCTGATGAAATGTTTTTTTCTGAAGAACCTCATAATACCACGAACGATTTACCCAAATTGCCGACGCGAACTATCGACAACGAAACAGTACTTGGAGAACGATTGAAAAGTATCTCCAGTGGAAGCCAACCTCTTCGCGTATTGCAGATTGCAAAACGAAAGGGCAGACATGCTGTTGGTTCTTTGGAAGTGTTTAATGCCATGACACAAGCACAAGAGCAACTTGCTGCGTGTACTTCGGTTCAAAAGCTTCAGGACGTCTTGGTGGGCCTCATATTTGACTTGACGGGCTTTCATCGAGTCATGTTCTATCGATTCGATTCCACCAAAAATGGATGTGTGGAGGCTGAGTTACTCAATCCCAAAGCCAGTGATGATATATTTAGAGGACTGCATTTTCCAGGTTCGTTTTTGAATTCCTCCGTTCCTCTTCCATTCCAAACGGATCAGCAATAGCTTATAATCGATAGCTTCGGATATCCCCAAGCAGGCTCGGGACTTGTATAAAATCAACAGGATTCGAATGCTCCATGACCGAGATGAAGAGACCGCGCGACTCGTAAGCAACGTTTTAATTACTTTGTTATTGTTTTTTGTACAGCTATGTAAAGACTTTCCTTTTTCTTTTTTTTCTTTTGCCATGCGCCAGAAGCCACGATAATCAACTCAGCCTGAAATGTTTGGAGTGTTTGTTACTCTGGAGCAAAGCCGAACTTCGCCGTGCTGACAGTATGAAAGGTCTGTCGTGATCAGTCAGATTTTGAAAACCCCCTGGATTTAACGCACGCTTATTTACGCGCCATGTCGCCACTTCATTTGAAGTATCTTTTGAATATGGGGGTACGTTCGACAATGTCAGTTTCCATTGTAATTGATGGCGATCTCTGGGGACTTATTGCATGCCATGGGTATGGCAGTCATGGTACCCGCGTAACTTTACCGATGCGCGAACGTGAGTATTCTCCGAGCTGTCATACTCTCTTTCAGACTGATTTTCTAGATTGGTTGTTGTCTCTAGACGCATCAGATATATGTTGTATTCAAAAGAATCATTTCCCTATTTATTGTTTCGAACACGAAAAGCTAATTGTGCTATTCGTTATATAGTCGCCAGAAATATTGGAGAGTGTGCTTCAACAAATATTGAGCGATTGTTGATGCATCAACGTATTGAAGCTCGCAAAGCACCACGTCAGAACCCAGGAAAGACACCTTCTGGGTTTATTGCGGCATCTTCCGACGACTTACTACGAGTATTCGATGCCGACTTTGGTCTTTTGAACATTCAGGATGAAGCCCGAGCAATTGGAAAACTTCGCCCCTATCGCGAGGCATTGACTATTCTTGCATACCTACAGTCTCGCCATTTTACTGAAATATTCTCCTCGCACAATATTACAAAAGACTTGCCAAAACTGAAAGATTCTCCAGGAATCAGCGCTGTAGCTGGGATACTAGTCATACCTCTTAGCACCGGAGGGAATGATTTCTTGGTTTTTTTCAGAAGAGGCCAACTTCGCGAAGTCAGATGGGCGGGTAACCCTTATGAAAAGATCAAGCCTGCAAAAGGGCAGTATCTAGAGCCAAGAAGTAGTTTTAGTCGCTGGACACAGACTATCAAAGGAACTTCTAAAATATGGAACGCTGATGATTTCGAGACTGCGTCTGTGCTAAGTCTTTTGTATGGAAGGTTCATTCAAATATGGCGACAGAAGGAATCAACAGGACTTAACCGAATGACTCGCCTTCTATTGAAAAATACTAGTCATGAAGTTCGCACTCCGTTGAATGCCGTTGTCAACTATCTCGAAATGGCACTTGAGGACAAAATTGAAAGTCCAACCCGTGAGTTGTTAGACAAAGCTCATAGAGCTTCAAGATCCTTGGTTTATGTCATCGACGACCTCCTGAAGCTCACCAAAGCTGAAGCTGGCCCGGTGAATTCCATGAAAGATGTTTTCGATCTTTCAGCTACAGTTTCAGAAGTCATGTCAGCTTTCCAAAAAGAAGCTGTCCGAAAGAATCTAGATTTGACCGTCACAATTCAACAAGGCATCCCAGAAATGGTGAGGGGTGATGCTACCCGATTGCGACAGGTTATCTCTAACATTACAAGCAACGCATTCCAAAACTCCGTGGTTGGCGGTGTCAAAATTGATATCAAACCCATACAGATATGGCCAGCCAGCACTGTTATTTCTCTCACTGTTCAAGATGTGGGAGTCGGAATGTCGGAGTCACAGCTTGATGAATTGTTCCAGGAGTTTGAACAGATATTGGATGAGGTTGATTGCTCTACAACTAAAAAGCCGCCACAACCACTAAGTGATGTGAGAGAGACACTTGGTATCGGCCTTGCTGTAGTCGCGCGATACGTCCGTAACTCCAATGGCCAAATTCGGGTACATAGTGAGGTAGGCAAAGGGACTATATTCGGCATTGAGTTACCTTTTGAACACGCCTTGGCTGCATCAAGTGCTCAAGATATCCCAATTAGTAGTACTGCTAGACCGATTCGTCCATTTTCCGATTCCGGAAGCAATTACGATGAGAGTGAGAAAATGAATTCTAGTTATACGATGTCAACTTTCGGAAGCACTCCTTTAGCTACACCAATCGAAGAGGGTTCATCTATTACTACATCATTTTTCGATCTCGCAATGCATTCGAAAGAAGAATTTGTCGAGCCACCATCCGCTCGCCGAAGATCAAGCCTACCTTTCTTAACTATGATCGATCTTATGTCAACAAAGAAATCGCTTTCGATCCTAATCGCAGAGGATAATCCTATCAACTCAAAGCTTCTGCATAAAAGACTCAGCAAATTTTTACATAAACCTGAAGTTACAGCTGAAGGGCAATCATGTTACGATCACTACACATCTGGAATCAATAATGTCGACGTCATCTTGATGGACTTACAAGTAAGTCATCACTCTAATCCTATTTAAGATTGATATGTGACAGCTAACATTTCGTAGATGCCACTTGTTGATGGTACGAAGGCAACGAGAATGATACGCAAATTTGAGAGGGAATATCTCGAATCACATCAAGTCAGGAGGAGAGTTCCTATTATTGCTGCTTCAGCCTCACTTACAGAGGAACAACGATTTGATTATATCGAAGCGGGGTATGCTTATTCCTCTTTTTCAATCTTTATCATTTACGAAAGAAACTAATGAACCTTCTCTT